TTTTCTTGAATATATGATTTAACGAAGAGGAACTGGATTATTCAAACTGCTTGCTCCCGAAACAAAGAAAGTTTAGTGAAAACTAAAAAGTTATAGAAAGCATTTTGCCAGAGGGATACCCCTCACCCGTCTCAAAAGTAAAACAAATTCAGTGAAAATTCTGTGTTGGAAATTGATATTTGTTTTGGAGTGGCAACTCAGTATGACAGACTGTTATGTGCAGTTCAGCTCTTCTTGTGTGCTTTGGTAGTCAGCTTCTTTGCAGTCCACTCCATCTTTGTTCACTTTAAAAAGAGATTTTATTTGCTGATTGGATTGTGGCCTGTTCTGTTTGTGGCCAAATTATTTATTGCTTCCAATATTCCTGGTTAGAATGGAAAGGTAAAAGTTTTGGGGGTTTTTTGTGTTTGTTTTTTTTCTTTTGTTATTGTACATATTGGTATGGTTATTTGAATTCCTTAGTCTGACCTAAAGTACTAAAGCAATGTGTTAACTGCCCTCCACTACATTGAGTCCCCTGATGGAATTTGGAATTTCAAGTGGCTCTTTACTTCTTGGTGACATGGTTGTGTAGACAATAATCCATTTGGTTTTGGTAGTTGCAAAGGTCTGTGTCCTGGTTCTCAAAGAGTATTACAGTTCCCTAGTGGTGAAAGCATTTGTTTTTTGTTTTTTTCAACGTTTATAATATAGTTGATCCTGCTTTAACGACAGTCTGTCCCAGACAATCAACAGTATCAATGACCATTTCTCCCTTCCCACCCCTGGTTTCTTTTCGATGTTATGATGGTTCTGTTCTAGAGGATCACCTATCTAAGATAACCATTTTTTCCTGGCAATGGCTGGTTGTTATGGACTGGTTTGATTATAATTTCCTCTTCAAACTCGGAGCCAACAACAATACACTCCCAACTTTTAAAGGGGATGAATTTTTGTTTTGTTTAGTGTTATTTATTGGTTTATTCACTGTGTCTTCTAATGTAGAGGCCATCAGGATATTTGCACCTTGCAGCAGAAAGGAATGTTGGACCACTTTTTGTTCAACATTTTCCTGTAAACCTTTTCTATGCTGTTCTACAACTTTTCAAGTATGAAATACTTGATCTTGTAATTTATTTCTTAAGAGAATTGGGTCTTTATTTTATAGCTTAAAAGCTCCCATCTGATTTTTTTGTTTGTAGTTCTTCCATGTTAAATATGATTTTTTAAAATTCATTTCTTTTTGGTTTTTAACCAAAAGCTAGTCGTTGACTGTTTGCTATGTTCCTTTTTCTTTGGTTTTTAACCAAGAGCTAGTCGTTGACTGTTTGTTATCTTCCTTTTTCTTTTACAGGATATGCTGTCCTTGTTTTTCTACCATTTTCTATTGAAAATTTTTATTGGTTAGATTCTGGATAAAAGCTTTTTTGCTTTATTATAGATTGTATCACTATACATTTAGTAATCAAAGTTATAAAGAAGACTAAATTTCAGGGGTTACAGATGTTTTATTATCTTTGGACTGAGCTCTACCAAAAATATGAAAAAATAAATGTGTTGTTGTTCCAATAGATGTGGCTGGTTATAGCTCAATAATCTCAATTGTGAGTACTGGGTTTATTTATTTAGGTGAAATTGCTAATCTCTGCTTTCAATATGACACTTGCTCAACATTACTGGTTCTGGATTGATAACAACATCATATCATTTGATTAATTGAGACTCTCTAATATGACTAATTGCCACTTTCAACAGATCACTTTTCCTTCCTGATGAATATTGCATTTGTATAGTCAAGACTTCTAATAATAATGACTAATCACCACCTTCAAACTAATGCTTACTCTACATGATGAATACGTCTTTTGTGTTATGGTTCTAATCTCCATTTTCAGCATAATACTTTCACTACATGCTGTGTTTCACTTTTACTACTATTTTTACTCTCATTATGTTGACACTGCATACATCGATCTTGAACATGTTGAAATGCTGACATGGCCATTTTATTTAGTTTGGGACAACAGATTTGACAGAAGTTATGAACATTTTTTTAACATGGTATGAAAAATCTAACCGCTTTTATTAAGACTGTTTTGGATTTACAGTCGAACCTGTGTAAGACGGAATCGCAAGGGAGCCAGAAAAAAATTCCGTCTTTGACAGGGGAATTTAGGGGGAGATGGGGGGGGGGGGGGGGTTCAAAGGCCTAACAGGTGGGATCAAGGATCGCTGTCCAATCGGCAAGCAGTAGTCAAAATTTCACACCTCTCAATTGCTATCCTGTCTGATAATGACATGCGTCAGTCTTACTTATCCAATTACCACCACTGTCTGACCTATTAAAAACAGAAACGTTTAAACATCTCCTTTGCTTCCACCCATAGTCCCACCCACCAATGCCACCCCTCACTGCCCTCATGTAACAACGATTCGAGGAAGTATTTTCTCGGCTGGCCGTACGATCAGGACATCAGGCATTGGTCAGTCTAATTTCACACCTCTGGCTTCTGGCTACCCAGGAAAGTTTCCGTAGTGGCTCGCTACTCGAGCACATTCACGGAAAGTCGTGGGATTTCACACCCACACCACCCTGACCATCTGCATCACTCAGGGCTCACCTGATGGGGTAACATCTACCCTCTAATTGCACCCCTACTCCCCTTCCTTGCCCAGCGGCATAGCCATAGCATTAAGTTTAGAGCCGGCGGAACCAAACTTGCGAGTTTTGTTTCAAATCAGGGTTGAGCGGACAAAGCATTTTCTGTCTTAGACGGGTAAAACCCTGGGAAGGGAGCCGATTTTTCTTTCCGTTTCCGCATTGGACAGGTTTCCGTTTTATACAGGTAATTAAAGAGGAATATGTCAAGGGCTGAGCGAGGAGATTCCGTTAAGACAGGTTTCCGTTTTACACAGGTTTCCGTTAAGGCAGGTTCGACTGTATATTGTCATGCTATTTATTGAGATCAGCATTGAAATGTGTTATGCATTTTTTATGTGAGAGTCAAGACAACTTTATTTTTAAAAGAACCTTTGGGAGGTATACAGTTTTTGTTTTCTGTGTATTGTGGACTCATGATTTGTTGTTGAAAGGAGCTCTTTGCTTTTGATGGATTTTTTGTACTTTTTACAGTCTAGTTCAAAGCAGTAAAAAGTTAACCACTTTAAGAGTGGTAGATAATGTTTGACAAATATAACAATTTGTTATCAGTTCCCCCCCCCCCCCCCCCAAAAAAAAAAATAAAAAAAATTTAAAAAATATAGAAGAAAACTAGTCGTTTAAGAATTGTATTTTATCTCGGCCTTTTTGTGAATTGTAAGGAACTGTTTGTGGGAAGTAAAGTTATTCTAAAAAGCACAACTAGACCCCCCCAAAAAAGATTGAAACTGCAGGCTGTAAGGTAAAGGTTTAAACTTTGTTTTTTGAAATGTTTGAGATGATGCTACATTTAAAATTGTGACATATATTGACTGCTTAGCGTAAGATTCCATCTTACACCATTTTGAAAAGTGACGTTTGACGGAGTCTTACACTCTGAGCAGTTAATATGTTTTAGATGGACAAAAATTGGATTGTTCAAAATTGATTGTTGTAAGCGTTGTTATACCTGTTGGATAATTGCCACTGTTTGGTCTGATCAGATGAGTGTGACGTGAAGTGTCTCCCGGACCAGTTCTCCTTCTACATCCGGTCTGGTGAGAAAACTCCGGAGACAGGACGTGGGCCGGTCTTGTGTTTCCAGGGCAATGTGTGAGTTTTTGCCTGAGCCTGAACATAGATACAATGGAACCTGCTCTAAGGGCTGTTTGTCCAAGACAATCACCTGTACAGTCTACCATTTCCCTCCTTGAGTTTTTATCTGTATTACAATGACACTGTCCAAGATGTCCACCTGTTTAAGACGAGCACTTTTCTACTCAACACTGGGTGGCTCTCTTGAACTATTTTAACAGTATTACTATTTTCACAAACTGCTGTTTAAATGAAATAAATGTAGCATAGAATACAGCTACAACTTCTGTTTGGTGTTTGTGTAGCCGCTCATTTATATTGATGAAATATCATTACTACTCCACATCACCACAATTTTTCTGGAAATGTTGGTCTATTACTATTAGAGTTTGTCTTTTTTAAATTGTTTTTTTGAAAGAAATGCTTTCCTGTATTTCAATTTGTTTAATGTTTACTGATATCAGTATTAGGATTTTTATTATAGTGAAATATCAGTTTCTGAACAAATATTGGATGTGAGTTGTTTTCTTTTTCTTTTTTTTTTTTGCTGTTATAGTGTTTACCTGACAATTTTTTTTCTCTTTTCCCTCTATCCTGTGTTCAGGTACATGAGTAGTGAGATGAGGAATGTTGGACGAGGATTCAATGTTCTCCTAGTGGACTGTGAGTATATATCTATCGAAAGTTGGTGACGGCATCTGTTATTGTTTAGATTTATGGATATTTCTAGAAATATTAGAAAATAAGTAATTTTAATTACATCGAGTATTGTTCCCCTCTCCTTTTTTTTTCAGTGAACGTGAACTAAATCCAAAGTTTATTTGAGACATTAAAAAAAAAAAATTTCCTCAAAATATGTAGTATCTACCTGGGTTTTGGTTTAGAAGACTACATTTTTCATGTTTATTGCTGTAAAATGCAGGTAATATAAGAGATGATGTAGGGCCTTCACATGATTTGATAGCTTTTGAAAATTATTCCTTAATGCCCTTTACCTTGATCCTTGTTTTATGTACTGCAAGTTTAATGGTTGTAAAGCACATCGAGCATGCGTCTGTGTTATATAAATGTAATTTTGAGCCTTTTTCTTTTCTGTGCTCAGCATCTTTCATTCCAATTTCAAAACACTTTTCTGTGTGGATTTTACTGAAAAGAGAAAAACCTTGATCAAAGACACACAAAAGAATGTACATTTGCAGTTTGCAATGACACTATTGCTTTGGAAGTCACCAAACTTTGGCAGCCGTTTTCTCTCAAATTTTCCTCTGACACCAGACAACCCTTACCTCCTTTAATCGAAATTATTTTCTCTTCTGTTCAAGATAAATGGGGGTTTTTTTCATCAAAAGCCAAGACGAATGAACAAGTTTTTAGATTACACCAGTAACTCCATATGTCAAAAAATTGGATTCCATTGTCACGACACAAAATTGAAATTGAATTGCCTCAAGAATATATTGTAGTTTTGATTCTGTTTACCTCCTTTTATTTCAGCAAAATCTCAAGCAGTCAAAGCTGTAAACGTTTTTGACACATACGTGGATGGTATGTACCTTAAAATATTCAGTCACGTTGATGTCTATTTGTGTAGGTTTTTTTTTCTTTTTTAGTTGGGGAAAGAATTTCACAGGGTAGATCATGTGTATGTTTTTCAATGTCATATTGTGTTTAGTGTTTTTATTTGTCTTTTCTACTGCTCTGGGTGATGTACCTTATATGTGTAGCTTGTGTTTGTTAATGGTTGGAGGACTCGTCATTCTCAGTTTTGGTGTGCTATGGTTGGTGGGTGCTCTAGTGTAGATTACTCCTTTTATATGAATCGTCTGTCATCCTTATCTTTTCTCCTTTTTTGTGTTTGTTACTCTCTTGTAACACCTCTAATCTTTGGCTCTTTATGACCTAAGTGTGTTGCAAGTGCTGTAAAATGCTTACTTAAAAACCATTTAAAAAATGTAAAATACTGAATTTGGTTGTGCTGTTCTTTTGATTTTGGATGTAAATTTGCGTTATGGTTTGATTTCAAAGAAAAAAATAGTCTACTTTGGGTTCTGAAAGAACAGCTTTTTATATCTTTTTCTCATTAGGGGAGTGCCTTGAAGATATGAACATTTGGGAATGTGGGAGAGTGTTAAGTATGGCAGTTCTTCTTCATGGTTGGAAACAATTTGTGTATTTTGACAGTGATTACTTACATTCTATAGGACAGTTCTGATTGTTAGGAATGAAAATCATAATTTCATCCAATTGATCATTTTAAATACGGTCGAATCTGTGTAAGACAGCCGCCCATTGTTTAGGAGAAAAGTGGCCGTCTTAGGCAGGACTGATCAAGATGAAGAAAACCAACCATTCCTTTCTGAGGTCCCAACCGAAGATAGCTTCATTGTTGTTGCTGTTGTTGTAAAATGCTGTTTTTGCTGGGTTATTATTTTTTCTTTTGTTGCTGCTTTCATGCAAGGGTGACAATAAAACGAAATGCGTCAGACAAGGAGGACTGAGTGTTATGATAAAACAAACCCATGGGTCACCACCACTCAGAGAACGACCGACACTTCTGTCACAAGTGCATGTTGACGCCCATTGTTACTTTGTTACAAACTGGGTAAACAGTGACCACTCATCTTACTTACGATTTGTGTATGAGTTCTGGGCGGGGCTTATGGATTATGAGGGATCGCACGCTTACCTCACCAGCGGCTGAAAATTTGTTACCTTTTGGTCAACAGTGGGAGGGGCCTGCGCAACATGATCGGTTGGAGGGACTACTTAACAACGACAAGTGATTGGATTATGATGGCTCGCTCACAGCGCCAGGGGCCAATGCATGATTAATGACAAAACGTAATGGAGTCTCTAAGGTGGCTGTCTAAGACAGGTGTTATTACTTGGTATGATAGGGGCTATGTGATAAAATATGGTGGCCATGGCCGGTTTGGACAGGTGCCCGTTTTACACAGTTAAATTATATTTAAAAAACGCAAGGGGGGGAAATGGACAGTGGCCATTTGTACAGGTGGCCGTCTTATAGAGGTGGCCATCAGGGCAGGTTTGACTGTATAATATCTCCTAGGACCCTGAAAATTTAAGTCTATATGTTTGTTTATTTTGTCTTTTCTAGAATCTTCTCTTCTCCGTTTCCTAAAGAAAGATGCCAGAGAGGATGATATCATCATGCTAGCAACATTTGACGACGCCTCCACCAAGTGAGTGTCATGACTTCTGGAACTTATATGTTTCAACACTGATACTTGCTTCTTCTTTTTTCAAGACAGCTTAATCTTCCAGACTTAATGACTTACTTCCAGGTAGATTTGCTTGACAACAGTACTATTTAATTTGATATTTATCCTCAGACACTTTTCTTGTTGATAAACAGATACTTCATGATTAAAGCACGTAAGTTCATTTACGAAAGCAACAAAACAAACTTGTCTTAATGTGCTTAATTTTTTTCTCCTCTCATTTTCTTCCTTCCATACTCTTCTTCCCTCTCCTCCCTCCCCCCCCCCCCCCCTCCACTTCACCCCTTCTTTACCACACCTAACTTCTTTACTTTACATCCCCACCAGTCTGAAAGAGTCAGGTCGCCACTGGCTGTCCCTGTTTGGCAGTTCCCTGGTTTCTCAGCTTGGCTTCAGAGACAACTTTATCATGATCGGACACCGGGGCCTGACATCCGGAAGTGCCATTGAATACGTAAGCTCATTGACAGTTGTTTGTCTCCTGTTTTCGTGTGTACTCATCTGTCTCTGTCGGTATGCAAAGATAATGAGTGCAGAGGAGTACTCTTTTGCTCCTTCTACTTTTATTTGGTGTTTGTTTTTGTTGTCCTAATCTGCGATATATGGTTGTTGCTGTGCTGATGTGCCATGTACCACAGCTCAGGAATAACATCCAGCCTACAACAATTTTTGACACTTTTGTGTTTTTCGAATTGTTACTGTCGTATAAATCTAATCAATGAGTGTTATGTCCTTCTATTTTGTCGAATTTTTCTATTTTGTTTGACAAAAGTACTGTGAGACACAAAAACTTCAGCAAAATGTTCATGTTATTGCAGTGGTACTGTGTGGTTTGCTATCTTCTCATTCATATCTCCTGTATGGTTGTGCATCTGCAAAGGTGAGATTAAGAGGATGTATTTTGGAGATAAAACAACTTCATATGTTATTAGATACTGTTCTTGGAAGGCTCAACTTCTCCTTCCTAAGAGCTGGCGGCTGGAGTGATTTTGGTTGATGTGCTTGGCTTATCGTTGATGTACAGGGTTTGAACCTAATTATGGTTTGAGTTTTATGGTCATCCTCTATTTAAATATATCATTCTGGTAGGGCCAACTTTTATGTTACTTTTTAGAAGAAACCACACATTCTCCAGTCATCAAAATTTAAGTGTAGATAGCATTCAGTATTTTCGAGAGCACGATGGAGCAAGATTTTCATGATTTTGAGCTTAAGAATTTATAAAATCATAGGTTTCAATTGCTATGTATTGTTAGGATGAACAGACCTGCCACTCATCCCGATTTAATCAGGATATCCCGATTTTTTGCCCCAAATCTCAAGCATCCCAATTTTCCCGATTTCAGTCACAAGTCTCCTGATTTTTTGTCGTTGCGTCTGTTGCATCCGATTCTTAGAAAAAAATATTTAAAGTTCTGCAATCTCTTTTGCTTGGAAGCACTGATTGGACTTTTTATCGGCAGGAACTTAGAACGCTATTTTCTAAAGCATCTATGCCGAATCTAGTAGATGACTCACACACCTTATTTCACCTAAAATCTCGAGTATCGATTTTGAATTCCGACTTGGATTGGATACGCTCAAGATCTACTTTTGCTTTTATAACCCAGAATTCTCAGATGGTTTCCTGATTACTCTAACAATTATGACATGGGCCTTAGAATAATCTATTTGTTCTTCTGCCATTGCTTTAAAAGCGAGCTTCGTCTGAGTTCTGGTTAGTCGGACCCATCGTCATGACCTGTCTGTGAAACTTTCAAACGCTCATTCGCATCACATGACATGACCTCGTACATGTGAGTAGCGCATGTGTCGGGGACCGTCGGCTGTGGAGATCAACAAGGTTCATTCACAGCGGTCGCTTTGGTAGAGGTGTTTTTCGGGACTTGACCAGTGTGGGGGAGGGGGGTATTTTTTTTTACACTTGGGCTTAAAGTGCATGCCGTGATACAGGTCCTACTAATTGAAGGGAAAGGAATAAAAAAAATAAATGAACAACGTTGGCGTGATCTTTTTTTAGGAGGGCACCTATATATAATATATATGTATATATATATATATATATATATATGTATATATACGCGATGAAAGTCGAATGTTGTTACTGTATGAAAACGCTGACTTTTTTCCTGGATCATTAGAGTAAATGTGTCAGCTATTTTAAAGACTACAAGAGTTTCAGCTTTACTGCAACCTGCGCTCCCCCAGTCTATCCAACTCCCGACTTGAGTACATATATGCTGTCTTTCAGTTTTACCTTTATTTTGAAGCCCAAACGTGAACTTATTCCTGCAAAAGCTTTGTCTTGCATACTTGCCTCATGAAAGGGAACCAGAACCCTTCCCCAGTGCCCCTTATGACTGATTTGACATTGATCCCGATTTTTTTCTCAAGATCCTGAATTTTTTACTCTAAAACATGACTGATTTGACATTGATTCCGATTTTTTTCTCAAGATCCTGAATTTTTTACTCTAAAATCCTGATTTTTAGATTTCATAGAGTGGCAGGTCTGGATGAAATACTCCGGAACTGAGCCATTGCTTTCCAATTCCACTTTTTAAAAAAATGTCAACATACGTTCTTCAGTTGTGGTTGAAAACTGAAAGGATTGATGCTATTCAAATGTGTATAGGTAGCACAGCATTAAGGGGGTGGTCACTTACCTCAGAGGAAGAAAATGAACTTGGCAGAAACAATCCTCTTTGAATTGTGCAAGGACTTGCATTGTTGGCTAAGATAAAAAACCCAGTGCCCTTAGCTCAAAAGATACTTCTTTGTGGCTATCAACAATGGACTGTAATAACATAGACTCATGTTGTGAGATTTTATGAGTTTTAAATTAAAGTCCATATATTGCTGAGTTGAGAAAATGAGTTTCCCCCAGCAGAATTAATTGTGTTGCCCTCCTTTCTCTTTTTTTTCTTTTCAGTACAAAGGCAAAAAAATGAGAAAAGACGATGCCTTTGCACCTCCGATTGTCAAGGCTGGATGTTTCTCTTTTCCAAGTAAGAAATCTGAAACCTATTTCTCAGGGGGGTGTCTATCAAATGGGATTTTCAGATAGATTTCCTAGCTCCTAAAGTTTGACATTTTATCTTATTTTGCAAATATCATTTTCTGTGAAGCTTATCTTGAATCCCCCCCCCCCTCCCTTGAAATAACTGCTTTGATTGATATCTGCCTTGATAATGTTTTACTGTGATCAATGTACTATTTAACATCCTTCCAACTTGTAATGTCCAGTTACTAAAGCTATTTTGGGGATGGTTGGAAAGTAGTACTAGTGGGTCCTACTTCTTTACTACGCTTTCTATAAATCTGTCTGTCGATCTTGTGTTTTTTGAACTCTAAATTACTATTGCTATATCGGTGTGCTTCTCTTTGACCCAAACTCTTTCTTTTTCTCTGCCGTAAATTTCTCAAGCAAGAAGACAAGCAAATGAAAATGTTTTAAGTTCAGTCCTTCCCACTGCGCCGAAAACTGGCCGAAATCGTGCCTCTTAGTGTCCCAGGCCAGCGACATCTGGAAGTCATATTAAATCTCCGTCCGAACTGCTCCGTGCTGGGTTACGTGGGGTTCACTGGCCGCTCCATTGCACATCAGTTACAGGCGGGCAGGTCATGGCGTTATCGACACATTTGACCCTAATTATCGACAGTATCCTCACTCTAACCACGAATTATTACATACAAAAAGAAAAGAGCAAGATTCCCCGCTCTCAGTCTGTGAAAACCCGATCTCAATGCGACGATATTTGCCGATGTTACAGTGTGTGCAAAATGTTCTGAATTTCATTGAATTTAATATGTGTGTGCTTCACTTAACTTTAAATTTCCAAAGTGCCCGCTCAATCTCAACAAATTTTGGTATATGCACTGATGACATTTTGTGCTTTACGTGTGTAATTTTCATCATTGTTGGAAGAATAATTATTGCAACATTAAGTCGCTTACATCTGATTCTCATCCAGTGCCTTGTTATTTGGCCCCTGCAACTGTGTATTCTGGATTCTATGCTGTTCTAAGTTCGACAGTTCTCCGTTAATTTCATAGATTGTTGTTTCTTTGAAAGGCAGACATATTTTTGCTTAATGTGTATTAATTTCATCTTTGTAGACTGAGGCGTGTTACGATATTAGGTAGAATCCATTAGCCCGTGATTCATTTCTAACAGGTTTACTGAAATCTCCCAATGGAACACACACACGAGAGACATGCCCTCTCCCTGAATGGACTTTGTCGCGTTTGCGGGTTTAAGAAGGTGACTAAGTACAACAGAGGCTGAAATAAAAGCTAGGACATGTGAGTCACTGCACAGGGATATTTTATGATCCAATCATTGTTGACAAAGAGCACACTATAGGTTTGATTTTTGACTCTCTCAACCAAGTATACAGTCAAATTCGTAATGACATTTCACACAGCGCACCTATTCCGAAAACCTCTATTCCAGTAATTCAGACAGCAATAGACACATAGGGCCTACATGAAGCTGTACAGAAGACATTTTCCAAAAAAGAAAATTCAAAACAGCATATTTTAGAACAATATTGCATTCCATTCATGGCACAACACAGCTTTGGCTTGGGCTTGCATGGAGAATAAGGAACCGAAAGCTGTCACCAGTCTATTTCGAAAATTGAAAAGCGGGCTCAAGGCATCGTAAACAATACGGAAAAACTAGCATTTGTTATGAACGCACGGCGCCATAGATAAGTGCAGTATAGATCTACTGTACAAAATGTGTAAATAGATCTGTGTCATTAATTTAATGAAAAATACTGTAATGTGAATTTCATTTCAAGCCCGACTAATTTGACTGTTGAACGAAAATGCGAAAATGTTGATTATTAATCTTCCAACATTGATGTCCTTTGGTAAGTAGATACCCACATTGATTGTCTCTATTGAGAGCGAGTTTTTGTGAATTTCATTCGCCACTTTGATAGCTACATAACTTTTAATTTGATGTATATTACCTTAATTACCACCTATAAGACACCTGTATTTGATCACATGCAGTTAAAAAAACTATACTAGATATCTTCGTTGCGTTTTCACAAACTGTACATTGAAAGTAGAAACTCAAAGATGGAACATTATGTGTATATTGATAGCTCTGCTTTCATTTGTGAGCGTTGAAGCAAAACTGTAAAACTGCCATGGTATGTAACCCGCACATGGAGTGAGCGCATGTAGGCTGACCGGCAGCTGACCCCGGTCATGCTGACCTAGCAGCGTACGGTCTGACGAAACTAAACGACCGCTGAATCGGGGCTGTGTTCCTGACATCTTTGCAATAGTGTAACACCCAACCCTTTAGATTTGAAGAAATTAATAACAATTTGTGGTCTGCTTCTTGCTCCTAGCACAATCTATTGATGTGTGGGGTGACATACAGACATGGTGTGATCGCATGGAAAGACACCATTGCCACACAAAAAAGTGAAAGCACATTGTAGTACAAAAAAGCCACCATTTAGCGAGGAAATTATTGTGAGTGTCAGTACGGTTCATTATGTGTCCTGTGTTTCCCAGTGGGTAGCAAGGTAAGCATGGAGAACACAATGCCAGAAGTCCTGCGAGGTGAGAACATTAAGCTGGGGGATCGCCATGACAACTGTGGACTGCGAGAGTCGTGTGCTGATGGGAGTGTGGCTGTGGCTGTAGACACTGGTCAAGGCAACTTGAGGAAGCCCAGCATCTGCGTAGATGGATTTATGTACGTATCCCTTGACCTGAAATGTAAGGATACTCTATATGTATAAATAGTATGAGTTTGGTTCTCTTGCAGGAAACATATTTCATCATTGAGAATCACCATCTTTCTGCTTGGTTGATCCTGTTCGGGGGGGGGGGGGGGGGGGGGGGGGGGGTAAAGCAGTCCACCTTTTACTTACAGTGATTACTTTCTTCACTTTAGGATTAGCTTCATTGTTCAGTTGAATCAATGACTTTTTACTTGTTACAAATCGCAGGGGTTTAGTCCAATTGATTTTTTCAGTTAGGGGAGATTATTCTTATTGGTAGGTAACATCTAGGGTCACAGTGTGGTAGCAGCTATATTCTTCCAGGAAGGGGGAAACGGTGGGCTGTGGTCATCATGATGCATGAATACATGAGGGAAATACACTTTACTTTGATAGTCACATGCTTGTTAGCACCATCCATACATACACATACTGGGTTAACTCTTTTTATGCGGGCTACGAGTATACTCGGAACGAGGACCAGTCCGGGCTACGAGTAAACTTTGAACAGCGATACGGTCACGTCAAACAGCTAGTTGTAATCCTACTACTAATGGTACTAAGGCCAAATTTTGCTTACAGTTTATTCTCAGAAACTACCCAATGAAAAAATATGAAACTTTGCCAGTACTCATAACTTGAAACGTAGTGCTGCGCTATTGTATTTTCATTAAGATCAAATGTGTAAGAAGAAAGCCCATTTTAAGTTAAATTCAGTCCTTCTGTAGCGATTGCCATCATTTGCTTCGACATTGTATATTCACTGTGGAGTGCCGTCTGCGCCGAAGGATATTTTGTGTTCAGTGTGTTCGTGTGGATGTCTAGATCTAATATCTCGATCAAGATAAAAAATCATGAAAGTATTGAAAGTAGATTTGTCCTGCAGTGGATTTAGCGTGCACGCCGAAGGAGAAGTGTATTTTGTGCACAGTGTGAGTCTAGTTTGATGAAAGTGACTCTGATTCAAATGCCATAAATTCCGTTGTGGATGATAACGAACAGGAATTAGACTCATCTAATAGTGTTTCAAATCATGGCGAAGGGGTCAGTACTGGAATTTGTGCAGTACCGATGGGTAGTGGTAGATCTATAAATCCAAGGGGACGTCGTGGGCGCGGCAATCAGGGTCAAGTTGGAGGGTGAAAATACACCTCAAAATCTACATGGTGCAATTGGTGTAATTCCTAACCACATACATTTACAAAAACTACATTCAATTTCGAATATAACTGCCAAATTTCCTTAAAACCTAAGAGTGAATATAAGAATTACTGCACTTTGAAATATATATACACCCTGAATTCCAACTCATTTGGTGTTGCGACTCCAGGACGGGTACAGAGTCCGTGGGGGTACGGCCAGGACAAAAAGAGTTAAACAATGTGAGAAAGTATTTTCTTGACAAAGGAGAATTATTCTCTTTACTGATTATACTGATAATATTCAAACTCTATTTAATCGTGGTTAAGTCCAAGGACAATTGTCCGAGGAAGATGACTAAGAAACAATGATTATAACAATGGTGTATATGTGTCTCTGCCGGTCAATATCAGTCATATGAAGGAAATTTCAAAATTGAGTTAACATCATTTTCAAAAACTGTCACCTGTCCCCTACAATTTGAAACAAGAATGAAGTAAATATGACCATATTTGACGAAAATACTGAACTTTTAATTGTGCGAGGTGAGGAAACACGAAAAGAAGAAAATGGCCTCTGAAGTTAAGCAACATGTTTCCATAGCAATTGGGGTCTTAGAATTGAGATACAGACTTGAAATTTAGCATTTGTCTTGGCTATGCCACTACAAGGTAACATACAGAAGTAGAAAACTATTCATGTACAGAGAAAGAACTTATGGACAAAACAAAATTTTCACGAGAATGAACTTCATGTCAAATGCAACAAAATATTAGCATTATACTTGGTACCAGACACCAAACTTTCAAAGTAACTGTATGTCAAATTCGTCTGTTTCTTATGAAAAGCCTATGTCTCCTGAGAATTTTGGTACCATACTTTTACCTCCCAGTCAATGTTGAGGAGAATGGCAGCTGTTTCAATTTAACATAATAATCAAATATTGCTGAAGTCGCTAACTGGCTGGAACCCCATGAATGACAGATAATAAAAGAGTACCAAGCGCACCAAACATCTCTACATTAAGAGAATACCATCATTATAACAAAGAAATGAAGCATAATTTTTTTCAAGACTGTGAGATCATTACAAATCAGTATTCTATTGCCTCAAACACGATGATCTGTCATTATTTGAATGAAAACACCGAGCATTGTCTCGGCCGGCGCCGCATTGGTCCCCGCTGCGAGCGAGTAGCCTATATACTGTAGTATACTGAGTGCTCCCCGGAGTTTCGCGGAAGGATTCAGTCGAAATAATTCCGAGCCGATGACTTTATTCTAATGGAAAAAGAACTGTTCTTTCCATTGGTACCTTTTTTAGCCGGTATTTTACACATTTTGTGTTTAAAATGATCTTCGAAAACTTACACGCTTTTTTTTAAAGGTTTTCTATCCAAACGCCAAAAGCCAAAAATAATAACCACGGGAAACCACGCTCAAAGCTGTATAGTTCTCCGCCAATGAAAAGACGGTATTTAATCATCAATCTTACTGCAAAGCATTCGAATGCATGGGTGTCAATTTTGAAACGGCTGATCTTGCATTCTGACCGCGAGGGGCTTCCCTTTCCACTGCAATTCTCTAGCTCCAAATAATGGGATATACAAACAATATACACTATTGTAATGAAGAAAGTCAGAATTTTTTCAAAGTGTTCAGCATTTGGTGTTTTATAGCAAAAGAGCAAAGAAAAGAGATCTGAATTGCCTCCATTTTATCGAAACCACGCGCCCGGAAGGCCGCGAGTCGGGCTTACGTGCCGTGTTTATGCTACCTAATTATACTTTTGCAATAGCACCATAAACACACGAGAGCACACACACTCACACACACACACACACACACACACACACACACACACACACACACACACACTCACACACACACACACACACTCACACACACACACAGTCACACATAAACACACACATACAAACACACACACGCACACACATACATATACACACGCACACACATACATACACACACGTACCAACACACATATACACACACTCACACACACATGCACATAGACCGCCTCGGTGGCCTCTTGGTAAGGAGTCCGCTTTGAGAGGTCTAGAAGAAGGTTAATTAACCTTTTAAAAGCACTAAAGCACAATAAAAATGAATTTTTAAAGTCAATCCCACTGGATCGCTAACAACAACAAAGTCAATCCAAGTGTAAAACTGAAAGATCAGCATGATAACAGCTAGGAGGGCACACCCACACAGTAAGCTGTTTACGTAAACAAGCTTGAAGTGAGCTAGAAGTTACCGTTTTACCAATCGGAGTTGTTTACATTTGTGACCATTCATGCTCGAAAAGGGGTCAAATCTAAAAATAGTTGCGAATGAAGAATGTTGAAGCAAAGATACTCCACTAGTGGAGAATCTTATGTTGAAGCAAAGGTGGTCATGAGGTAATGGTTCTAAAAATAATCTCACAGCTGCACATTGGCAAGGTCCAAATTCCTTTATCTCATCACCCAAGCTTTCAACAAACCATACACACTCCCAAAATTAACCAAAATAAAATATTTATTGTGGATTATAGTTGTTTAGTTTTATCTTAAATGAAGCAGAAGACATCAAACTTTCAATAGATCCAAAAAATAAAAATTTCATGAAAAGTCACTTTTTTGCCTTTCGAGCCTCATAGCTGATAATAGCACATTGCGTCTTACGACTGATATTGAGCGGGGGAGACAGATATGCACTTCCGGCCAAATGGTATTTGATTTTACTTTGTTTATTAATTTGTCTCATAGATTTATATATTACCATGAATGAGTTCCTTTCTTTTAACTCAAGATAGTTTTTGTGATCATATTTATGGAATGTCTTTGGGGGATTTTGAGAATGGATTCGGGTGCTCTCTTTGTCTTTTCATTTAACTGTTGTTGAAAGCCTATATTCTTTGGTCAGTTTTTTATTACTTTTTTCAAAATTTTCAGGCGAATGGACAACAATGTGAATGATGCTGGCCGTGGGTTTAACGTTGTTGTACTGGATCCAAACACTCTTCAGCCTACCAAAGTCACTCACATGGATACATACACTTTCGGTACGGTGCTTTTGCATATGTCACTCTCAGTGAGTTTTTATTATTGAGGCCTTTTTTAACTAGTGAGGTCTAATAACATTTTTAAAAAAAATTGCTCTTTAATTTCTCTGGGGAAATTTGGTTTACAATGGCATAATATATATTGTACAAACATAAATATGGTACATAGATACATAAATAAAAAGATACATACTGAAACATACAGATAATAATAACAACAACTACATTTTCCGGTAGTGGCATCTCTTCGGGGAGGATTCAGGGAGGTTGGACTGCCTCACCCGCTCCCCAAGGGAGGAGGTGGCCCTGGCAAAGAGCACGTTCTTCTGGGCTCCAAACATTTCGAACAGATGGGCTACCACACACACAACTACATTTGTGTGTGTGCCGAAAGAAAGATACCAAAAGTCGGATTGTCACCATTTTGAGTTAAGGGTTGTACCTTATTGGAAATTCAATTCTGAACACGAGAGTTTTTTAATTTTTTAGATATCTCAAGTGCTTTTTGAGATATTGCACGTTTTGCGAGGTAGGGTATAAAAATATAATTTTGAGAAAATTAGCTTTTAAAAATGTGAGAACACATACAAAATTTGAAAGCAACGATTTTTTTAATGCATTTTTTCATGGAAAATTTATTTCCAATATGGCATTCAGTTGACATCGATATCGTGAATGGAATTCAATGATAAAACATAGCCGGGAAGAGAACATGTGCTGCAACAATAGATTTTACAGTTTTCTTTGTTTTTATTATACCCTTCCCTCAAAATACAGTCAAACCTGTGTAAGATGGCCACCCATTGTCAAGGAGAAAAGTGGCCGTATAAGACAGGTGGCTATCTTAGGCAGGACTGATCAAGATGAAGGAAACAAACCATTCCCATCTGAGGTCCCAATCGAAAGTAGCGGCATTGTTGTTGTTTTTGCTGTTAGTTTGTATTTTGTTTGTAATTTTTATTTTGTTGCTGAGTTAGCGCAAGGGGGACAATAAAACGAAATGTTTCAGATAAGGAAGAATCGAGTGCCATGTTAAAACAAACACATGGGTCGCCACCACTCGGAGAGCGAGCGGCGCTTCTGTCACAAGGTCACGTTGATGTCCTTTATTACTTTGTTACAGACTGGGTAAACAGTGACCACTCATCTCACTTACGATTTGTGTATGAGTTCTGGGCGGGGCTTATGGGTTATGAGGGATCTCACGCTTACCTCACCAGCAGCTGAAAATTGGTAGCCTACCTATTGGTCAATAGTGGGAGGGGCCTACGCAACATGATCGGTTGGAGGGACTACCTAACAACAATGACAGGTGATTGAATTATGATGGCTCGCCCACAACGCCAGGGGCCAATGCACAATTTATGACAAAAGGTAATGGAGTCACTAAGATGGCCGTCTAAGACAGGTGTTTTTGCTTAGTGTGATATGGGTTGTGTGTTAAAATATGGTGGCCGCGGCCGGGTTGGACAGGTGCCCGTTTTACACAGTTAAATTATATAGAAAAAACGCAAGGGGGGAAATGGGAAGTGGCCGTTTGTACAGGTGGCCGTCTTATAGAGGTGGCCGTCAGGGCAGGTTTGAATGTAATTCAAAATTAAACATTTAGAAGTCAAATCAATGAAAACCCTTTGAACACATTGTAAAAAAATGTTGGATCATCATTTTTTTATGAAAACATATTTAGGTAAAAAAAAGTGTTTTTTGTCATTATCAGCCTGTAGCTCGAAACGGTCTGGGGCGACTTTTGGTACCTTTCTCCAGGCGCACACACATTTATATAGCTGTATGTACTTTACAACTATTATACCCCAGCAGACTCTAAAACACTCAGAAACATTCTCCGTTTCTCGGACAGAAATTCAACAAGTATTTAAAAGATATATTTGAATGATGGATATGTATGGCTTGAGACAGATATACTACAAACATGCCATTACTGGTCACCACTGTGCAGCACCCTGTTTTATGACCTAAGGTTGTCTTGTCTTGCTCAAGGACACACCCCAGTGACCACCCACCTAAACCTTTATTTTTGCAGACAGCACAGACCTGGAGCTGTTCCTGGAATCCCTGGCAGACGGGGATATTGTCCTTGCTGTTGTTGCTGACGACGCTTCAAAAAAGTAAGTTTAGGAAACACGGGTGTGTGGTTGATGGGAGAGAGCTCTTGTGTGTTCTGCTGCCTTTACTTGTCTTCAGTGATACTTTTTCCTTTTCTTTTCTTATAGAAATGTGGCATTTTCATCATGACTCATCGTAGACTTCTTCTCTTTTTTTCAATAGTTGGTGGTGTAATGGGGATTAAAATAAAATACTGTGTAAATAATATGAATGAGTCTTTAAATCAACTCATTTCCCAAGGGCTGTTCTCAGTGGCTGGCTTGGACACAATAAACTCCCACACTCAAGTCACAACATCCATACATAGTCATTTGTAAATACATGCAAAACGAAATTAAAAACCATCATTAACTGAACACAATGACATCCGCATGATTTCGGCATCTTCTCGAATTGTTTTTCAGCAAAGGTTGACCGTGTTTGTAGTGTTTGCATAATTTCTTTTATATCGATAATTTCTTTTATTTCACACCTGGAGTGTCTTTGGAAAATGGCCAATTGCCCATCAGTGCCTTGTCATATCTTATAAGAAAAAAAAGTCAGTTCTGATTTCTTTGATTGCAATCGATGATGCACGTGACAACACTGAGGATGATGGATTTAGTGTTTATGATTAAGGTAGAAAGGATGAGACAAGTAATTCATGCATAGACCAAGTCTTGACCCAGATTACCATGATGATTCTAGTGATAGCCAGGGAGCTATCGCAAAACCTGGACCATCCATTAAGGGGGAGGAAGATGTCTTGGCTTAGAGCGGAGAGGATTGAAGAAACTGATGGCATAAGAAGTGAAAGTGAAGCGGTTGTAGAAAAGCAAGAACATCAGTAAATAGAGTTTGTTTTATTACAGGCCTTAGTGTAGGCCTGTGTAAATAGTTGCATAAAATTTTTTTTCCTCAATATGATAAGTTGTGTGATAAAAAAAAAATGACACAGAAAAAACAATGTCAAATTTATATAACATCTTCAGAAAGCCTTCCTCAATCGGATTATCTTTGCTGGAATTAGAGTTTTACACGGGTGGAATCTCACATGACTTCTACGACCTGAGGTTCGGGGAGAACATTTGTTTCATTTTTTTTTTTTTTTACTATTTTTCTTTGTAATATTAAACTTTCATAAATAACAGGACACACTTTTTCAAACCGCTTTTGTATGTATGCTTGGGAATAACACAAACCTTTGTTTTTTGAAAGTCCTGTTTTTGGCACTGTGGGAATTTGGCCTGACCACCGTGGGGTTCAATTTGTTGAAAGATTTCATATTTCTCTCCTTTTACACAGCCTGAAAAAAACTGCCACAAGTCATAAACACACAAAATTAAAGCCAATGGCTAGTGACTTATGTTTAAAAAATGTGAACTGTGATTTCAATCAGAATGTGCTCAGAAAAGGATGTGCTCTCTTGTGGCTTAACAGCACATAAGTACAAAGGCATGCAGTGAGTATGGAGACAGCACCTCATAATGGTTTCAGTTGACGTTTGTCTTGTTCACCAGTTATACAAATGAGAATTCTTCATATTAATTTGCCCTGCCAGATGATGCAATGACGAGCTTGCTATTGGGCAGCAGTCTTTTTTTTTCGTTGGACAGTTATGATAACAGTTGTGAACACTCAGAAATTATAATCCATGAATTTAATCATTGGCGATTAAAAGCCATGGGTCTTTTTGAAGTTGATTGCTGGGATTCACCAGTCTTTTAGTGTTATTCTTGAAATGTCCAATAGAATTTCATGTGTTCAATTATTATTATTTTTTTCAATGAAATAAAACTTTGAATGTTTCCAATGTAAAGTATTCTGAAAATGTCAAGGGGTATGGTCTCTGTTTTTATAAATTTCTATAAAATTAGTATGATATTTGTATGTATTGTGAATGTTCAGCAAGATTTTGTGTAAATAGGTTTTTCTCTCAAACTTATGGCATTACGTTTTTTTTTAAAGAGAATAAATCATTAAAAAATTAATATTTAGCCTCTCTTCTCTCTTTTTTGTATGTCTGAGTATGCCAGTTATAAGTGTATTATGATCACGTTCATTTATAGTCATGATAAAATTTCAAGATAAATGTAGTATTCTAGTGTGCATGATGTTTGTGCCTGTAGGTCTACATGCACTTTTTATGTTAATTGTTTAACTATATTTTTATTTCCTTTTTCAAGACTATGATTTTTCCTGTCAGTAATTGAGGCACTATGTACAAGAGTTAAATTTTTCACCTATTTGGAGACCAAATGTACAATGTGGATGGTTGTTGGAATCTCTGGTGTGGTTTGCTCCTTCTCTTCTATCAAACATCTGTCATCCTTATCTTTTCTCCTTTTCTTTGTATGTTACTCTCTCGTAATTCCTTTAATCTTTGGCATTTATGGGACCTAACTGTGTTGTAAGTGCCCTAAAACTCTTACTGAAACTTTGTAAAAAAATGTTCAGAGCTAGTGCTTATTTTGGGATAATGGAGTTGTTGTTTCCTTTAGTGACATTTGAGCCCAGGTTGATTTGCTACTTACTTTGTTCATTTACCTATTGGTGTCTTGCTTTCTTGGGTTGGATGTAGTTCTTTTCTCTTTTGTTTTGTTATTGAAGTAAACTTCTATTACTGTAAGGTTACGGTTATTGCTTTCATGTGTGTTGGTTTGCCACAAGGTGGAAATTGCTTTTTCACAGATGCTGCAAGATTTATATTTTGTTATGGAAATGTTTAAGTTGCTGTGTATATGACCTGTTCTAAAGTGCAAACTTGTAGTCTTTTGAGGGCTGCTTAAAAAATTCAGCAAGCTCTCAAAGGTATTATTTGAATATCAAACATCTGTGGTCCTTATCTCTCCTCCTTTTCCCTGTATGCCTTTTCTTTTTTAAAACTCCTGTGTATGGCTTGAGACAGCATCATTAATTCATGGAAAGCGAGGCTTGGCTGTCTCCTTAATTTAGTGTATTTCTGTGATGAACTGCAGTTACTCCTTGAATGTTGTAATTGGTTCGGGCTTGTTGGGAACCCATCATTTTTCTGCACCTTTTTCCCCAGACTGTTGATTAGATAGCACCCGAAATATGCCAGCAATTTTTTAATGTACATTTTATATGCTTGCGGCTTATTCTTAATCAGACATTCTAGTGCTCACAATTATTGGGTTGCTTTTAGCTAAGATAAGTTGCTGAAAAGAGCTTTTATTTTATCTCTAAGACGGAACAAGGAGGAATGTTTCATCTTTCACCCTCCTCTGGTCAGCAAGAGTAACCCTGATGAACATTGAGTTACTAACCTTTGTACATGGTGTCAGTTGAAAAAAGATACATTGGTTCAAATGTATCTGAAAGTATACTGAATTGAGATCTGGCTTTGTGATGGAGTCATTTGTGATAGCAAATTTGTTAAATTTTGGATATTTTTATGTTTTTGTTTTTAAGATGATATTTTTTAAGACTGTAATATTTCCCTCTTTCTCTTAAGAAAAAATATTGCAATTAAAAGTGGAATACTTGAGAGCCTTTTCTTTTACCGAGGGTGACAATTTCTCTGTTTCATAGGGGGGAACTTGTAAAAAAACTGTTTCCACTGTTTTCAAACTTTTAAAAAGGACTTTTCTATCGGAGCTCAGACTATTTTTGTAAAAAAAATTTTATGTGTCTCAGTTTTAAGAGTTACAAACAACTATGTGTTGCAGTTGATGATGATGATGATGATGATGACTGGCTTTGCATGGTAGTTTTTCTAAATTCAAATGCTGTCTGTATAGTGTTCTGGCACCATTCCACAAACAGAAATAATCTAAAATGTTTCTACTGGTGTCTCCAGGCTGGGTCAGAGTGCCAGGGACTCCCTAAACCAGATTGGTAGCGGGCTTATCCAGAACCTTCGCTTCCGTGACGTATGGTACTTCATTGGCCAGAAAGGCATCCAGGGCTTCACCACCATGGAACAGGTATGTGAGGGAAAGACTTGGTTGTTGTGACCTCTTGGAATAAAGTAGCATTTCTTTTGGCATAGGTTTGGACACTATGCTACCCTAGAAATACAAAGTTCTGTCTGATAAGTACCTTGTTTTCAGAAATTTGAAGTTTAAAATTTTGAGCTTCTCAACTTGTCAGGCTTTTTTAAATTGAATACGTTGAATATCTTGGTAACCACTCCAAATAATTGTAGTCATCTGATGTCAGTTACTGTCTACACATCTGATACCGGATGTTTAGTATTTGTTCTTGCCAAGTGCTACTATCGAATTGTTCATATGTTGTTCGGTTCATTTGATGTGATTTGATTGTTTATTATGGATCTTGTACAATAGATCTGCCTGTGGAGGAAGTATTGGCAGATCAGCATAATGTTGTAATATTTTGTTAATAAATGTTACTAAATGTTAAATCGACCTCAAAATGACTTAGATTTATTCATAAAGCTTACTATTTTGATAGAGCAGAAAGAACATTTGGTTTCTGACCTCAAATGTCTTATAGTAACTCAAAACGGCCAAAAACGTCAGATAGAACTTTGCAATTCTAAGGCAGCGACTTGTGTATAGCACTTCATGCTGAGGAAATGAGTACGATCCAATGCATCGCAGAAAATTAAAATTGTTAGTAGTCTTGTGTCTCTCCTAGCTGAAGGACGCACAACTTCTGGCCTGGCCTGGCTTTTCCTATTTACCCTCTCCATTCCCCATTGGACGTCATACAATGCAATGACCTTTTAAGCTCTCCAACACAGTCCTGGAAATACGAGACAGTTTAAGCGGTGGTGACTGTGGTTTTGTTCCCTAGGGTTTGTAGGCTGTGGTGGTTGGATTTATTTTATGTAAATGATGTGTGCTTTCTAAGCTCTGCTGGTTTCGTGCTGGACTACAGTGCGAGCGAGCATGGTGTTGACCATCAGCAGGGCATTCTAGCGGGCTACCAACCTTGCCTTGTCTCTCCAGAGATGACTGTTAATTTAGAAGTCCTTTTGAATCTTCTAATATTGCTGGGATCTCTTGGAAGTCTTGCTGTACATTTACTTCAGGACTAATGACAGTACAAAGAAACCTATTGCTATACAAGAGCCAAGAGCAAGTTGGGTTTGCAATGTCGCTTGATGGTGATACTGAGAAATTTTAGAGGAAAGAAGATCAGGGCTTTCTGTAGAAGTTGATTTTTATTAAGATGCAGCGTTAACAAGTCTTGCAAAGTTTCTGTAACTGCATGTCAGTAAAATTTGCTTGACTTGGCTCCAGGATGCCAGTGTGCTTTCCTTTCAATGATAGGCCTAAGTAGATCAACTCCCTCAGGGCTTCTCGCCCAGTGACCTTGTTAGCGTTTAGTGTCACCAGGGTAAGGCATCATTTTTGTGTTAAGGTATCTGCAGAAAAACACATTCATGATACAGCTTTGCCTGGGTGGTAGACATAGAGGAAGTAAGTTGCTCTAGTACTTCTTCCCAACCTTCAGATCTTGACTTCTTTGATATGCTTCAAAGGAGAATGATAATAATAATAGTAGTAATAGATAAACAAATTAATAGAATTTGTATAGCGCATAACCCCACTCTACAGCAAGCTCTATGTGCTTTACACTGTTTATTATTACCCCAGCAGACCATAGAACACTCAAAAACATTCTCAGCTTCCCGGGAAGTGTACAGTGCAAATATCTAATTAAGCGCTCAAACACTAACAAACTGAGAAAATCTTTCACTGTCTATATCTGTCTGGGTACCCATTCCCACCTGGGTGAAGTGAAGAAAATTAATGTAAAATGCCTTTCCCAAGGACTCAAAGTCGAGTCACTGACGAGATTTGAACTCACGACCTTATGGATATGAGTCCCAAGAGCCTAACCACAAGGCTACCGATGCCAGTATGTTTAGAATCAAGGAAAATGTAAGGGTGGTATTACTATTTTACAGTTGCAGTACGGATATTAATCGTAGGTTAACAGGAATGCTGTTTTTCAGTAAACAGTGGTTGTGTCCTGAAATTTTGATTAATTTATTATGTCAATGGTTATTGTGTCAATCATGCCGTAGTAAAGCAAGTCTACTTACAGGACTTTACTTTCAGTTTCATGCAAACAATTCGTGTTTTGTCGATGTATATGCTCGCTGTGACCAACTTGGCAAAAGATTATAGTCTACAGTTGCTTCTCTCTCTTTATGCAATTGTGTCATAGAATTTAGAGCCATTCTTTTGGTGTTTGGTAACACAGTGCCTTCATGTGATGGATAGACTAATGCTCTGCGAATAATGCTCTGCGAATAAACTTCAAATAGTGAATCATGGACTTGGACTTTGCCATTGCTACCTGACACTTGAGATATGAGCTTAGACTTCAGGGGCTTACCTTTCAGGCTTCACTCTGCATCTTCTGTATCATGATGCCCCCAGACCCATGTGTTTAGTTTTAATTTCAGTAAGAGTTTAATGGCACTAGCACCTCATTTAGGTTCCATAAGTGCCAAGATTTGAGGTGTTACAGGAGAGTAAAATACAAAGTAAGATGGAAGAGAGACAAGGACAATAGATGTTTGATAAAAAAGGTGGTATATGTGGTGTTGGGGGGGGGGGGGGGGGAATTTGGTGTTTCTTGTAACATCCCCTTTCCTCTCTTCCCTCTCCCCACCCAATTTTTTGTTGTTTCAGCTTAGTTTTGCAGCATTTGATGGAGGATGGCCCAAGCCTCTTACAGCGAAGATTTGCGTGCCCAAGAAATGTGAGTGGATGAGTCAGATGTGGGCTTTGAATTATGTTGTATTAGATTCATGAACATTTCCTCTTAAACTAAGAAGGTTGTTGATATGAATAATTGTAGATTCATGAAATCCTACTATACGAGACCATATTATGTTCTCTCTGGAAACAGGGACATAGCACAGCCTGCCAAACAGCTCTTTAGATTTAGGTATTTTTGCTTGGCACATCTTATAAACTCTTTGCTGAATTAATTTTTTTCTTAGTTTAGACTGAATTATTTCCTTTAAAAAATTTACAGACGTAGGGTATGTAAGAAAAGCAGTCATAACGTCACTAAAAATGTAGCTATCTCTTTAATTTTTGTCAGAAATCAAGGAAAATGAATGGACTGTCACAATTAATTTCATTTCATTCTAAATAAATTGAAATAAAGAAACGACAGGGAGTGAATGAGAGGGAACTTTCTGGCAACAATAAAAATAGGAACAAATAATGCTTTTATTCTGCTGCTATCCCAGGTATCCTCCAGTAGCGCAAACTGCAGCCAATATCCAATACATAACAGTTGGAATCATGTTGACAGGTCCACATTTGTAAAAAGTTATGTCCATTTTAGTGTCGTTGGGTGAAAATGCATAATTTTTTAAAATTCAGCCGAAACCAGAAGAGAACAACAATACAACTCTCTACAACTATGTACAGTTCCATCATCCTTCATCTCTGCATGGTTATTTTTCAGTATTATTTGTATGGTACAACAGGAAGCATTTTTGGGGGCACAGGTGGGGTTTGTTGGTGCAACCTGTACTAAAATAGCTGGTGCGTTTTCTTTTCTGAGACGTGCTGTAGTAGGCACAATTGACGTCTGCCCCATCAAAGTCAATCAAATGTTGTCCCTGTGCCCTCTCAGTTGGAGTGCCTTGTGGTCTTCTACCCTTTTTTGGTGCGAGGAGAATAGCAAGATGACTTATGCTTGCAGCCACATCAGTCAATTCCTTGACAAGTATGTCCTTTAACTGTGCAAGTGGCATTTGCTTTGTCTCTGTTGGACGTGAGAGTTTGAACAGTATGTGCGAATTTTCTTGCGCCGCTTCAGTCATCCAAGCAAACATTTTTTTCCACCATTTCTTGGTTTTACGAGAATGAGTACCATAATTTGAGATGAGTTGATCTATTCGATCGTACCCATTCATCTTTATGTTATAGTCTTGCACCATGATCGGCTTTTCCACTGGTTGCCCAACTTCCTGCACATTCACTATGCTGGCAGTACTATGCGTAGACACCAGAATGCACAGCTTTTTAGCTTTTTTGTCCCTCCAGCTAGCTACAAGCACCTTAGAGTTTTTATCCTTGTAGAAAACTACTTCTCTGTGGTGAGCAAGTGTGTTTTGAGCTGAGGTGGAAATCCCTTTCGGTTGACTTGAAGGGTGCCGGTGTAATTGAAGTTTTTCTCCTGGAGGTGTTTGAGGAGTGCAGCAGATGTATAAAACCTGACTGCATAGATGTGATGGTGAGGCTTCAATAGTTCCAGCAATTTGTCAAAAACCTTCACTGCATGGGCTGATGTTGGATCCACTTCTGGTCGGTACGGCGTTCCCGTTCCGAAATAAATGAGTAAATTCCACACATAGCCTGTTGTCGAATCACAAGCCCCGAAAGTTTTTATATGGTTTCGATGCATTGAATTGTCTGTATTTGAACCGTCCCTTCCAACCGATAACCATTTCATCAATTGAAATGTTTTCATACGGGTAGAATGCATGTTGAAAACTTGACAACATTTCTTTCACGAAGGGCTCAATTTTCGCTTTTCCTTATGCATCTACCTTGCTTGCATGCAAGACGCAGTGGTGGATTAGCTCAAACTGACACCTTTGAATCATGCTTCTATACCATGAGGTGAATTTATGGGCAGTCTGTGACCAGTTGTCTTTGATGGCAGGATGAGGATCCTTACCCATAGCAATGATGACTGCGAAATATTTGTACATTTCATATCAGCCGATGAATTCACAAGAATTGAAGATGGAATGCTTCCGTAGTTGAGTGTGCTGCTGAATTACTTTGTCTGCATACTGGTTTATATTTGTTATAAGTTTATCTACGATTTCCTGTGTAAGCAGAGCAGAGAAGAACTGTATAGGAGTAGCTGTTTGATCTAGATCTAGGTTTAGTCCAGAGTAAGTTTCACAGAATCCCGTAGCGCCTACCTCAGTTCCTGAAACTACTTTTTCGTTGCAAGGCTTCATTTGCTCGACTACATTGACTTTTCTTCCCTTTTCCTTTGCCTTCACCTTTTCCCACAACTCTCCTTCGCTTTAGTAAGGGATGATCTTCAGTATCATTGTCACGACTAGCTTCTCTATCGCAAGATTCTGATCCAGAGATGTTCGTAGATCTAGATCTGGTATGGTCAATAACTGTTCTACAACTGCTAGATCTAGATCTAGGTCTAGGACTAGAGTCAACACTTTCACTTTCACTACCACTATCCTCTGATTCAGAACTTTAAACAGCAAACACTGCTGACCTAGCCTGTTCACTTGTAAGACGTCTAGGAGGTCTAGATGGACCAGGAGTGGGCGTGGTAATTTTAAGCTGCTTTTTTTGGGGGGGTGAAACAATTACACTTGTAAACTGAGCCAACAGAATCAAAACGTGCAGAATTTACTGCTACTGATGCTTCCATTTCGTTCCACAGGAAGTCCAGTACTTTGTGCTAACAATAAGATGTATAAAAAGTTGAATCTGAGGTAAAACGAGACAAAATTTTGACTGACGTTGAGTGAGTCGGTGTATCGGCACAATGTCCAGCTAGGCCAGGAGCGGAAGCCGATATATCGGCATTAAGTAAGCAAAGGGTTAATGAAAGTCTTACTAGCTGCAAGCTTATTCATCACCTGAAAGATCACTATGTTGCTCTGTGATGATTTTTTGTAAGTTGTTATTCATTTTTAAAGAAATTATAGTTCTGAAATGTGTGACTTAAAAAAAATACTTTTTGGAGCACACTACCCCTATGCCCTCAGGTTTTTAGGGAATATTCCAAAACCACCCCCAGTCCATCTAATTAAGATGTCTATTTCCTTTTGACATACATTACACAAGACATTAATGTACACTGTAAGTACTCAAAGTCAAAACCTTGAGTGGCAAGGGACTTTATGTTGGTTAACATTTTGTTGCCTCTTGAAATGATTGCTTACTTGAAATTTGTACCTTCTTCACGCCCTTATTCTCATCATCTCTTATCCTATCTAGATTAGACTTGTAACTCACTCCTAGCAGGCCTGAACAACAAATATTTCAATCGTTCACAAGTCATTCAAAACAAGGCCGCTAGACTGATAACAAGATCTAAAAAACGAGATCATGTCACTCCACTACGAAAAGAACTGCATTGGCTCCCTGTAAAAGAAAGAATGATATTTAAAATTTGTGTCATGTGTTTCAAATGTGTAAATAAAACTGTTCCTTTTTATCTACAAGAACTTATCAGTATATATAAGCCAGGGAGAAACCTAAGATCATCAAACGATAACACCCTACTTGTGACACCAGTAAAATCATACAAATCATATGGAGAGAGATCTTTCTCATAACTTGGTCCATTTATGTGGAACAGATTACCCACGGAACTAAGACAAACAAAAACACTTGATAGCTTCAAAAGACATCTTAAGCATTTTCTGTTCCTACAGGCCTATCCTTCATAAGCTTTTAATGTTATATATATATTTTTAAAAAAATTATAGTTGTTCTGTACCTATGTCTGAATAAAAATAGTCTGTGTGTGTGTTTGTGTGTGTGTGTGTGTGTGTGTGTGTGTGTGTGTGTGTGTGTGTGTGTGTGTGTGTGTGTGTGTGTGTGTGTGTGTGTGTGTGTGTGTGTGTGTGTGTGTGCATAAATATATTCTGCATGAGAAGAAAGGAAGTAGTAAGAAAGGTTTTGAAAATGGGTATTCCAATGTAAAGTGCTTTCAGCTATTTTTTGGGAAATTCGCTATATATATGTTATATATTATTATATTATTATTATCACTTGAGATAATACTTTCATTACCATGCAAGAGCTCTGAAAGTGTGTCACAATAACCTTCTAAAGCCCTTTGATCATATCATCTTCCATAAACTTAATGTTCTTTCTATGGTACCTGACAGTGCTCGTTTTGTACTTCTTTGAGTGTGCTGATGGGTAACAAAATGGAATTACTTTTTGGGAGCCAGGGGCTTCCTCTTTCTTCTCCTCTGTAGACATAGAGAGTTAAGCCAATGCGATGAAAATGTTAATAAAATCCATACAAGAAGTGTGCCTACCTTTAAGACCAATTATTGTGTAAGTAGTGATGATAATGAGGGAGTTGTCGATTTATAAAGTCCACATTGCACATATGCAGCAGTCTGACTTTTAGTCAGTACGAACTCAATGCATTTTTTGCAACATTGGGCTCCAGTGAGTTTATGTCCATTAGTGGTAAATTATGCTATAAAAACTCTTACTTTACCTCTTAAATTACTTGTTTCATACATTTATGTATTAATGTGCTGTTTTATCAGATTAGAAATTTCTCATTTCATCATACCATTTTGATGATATTTGTGTTGTTTCCTTGTTCCCTTCAGTACCATCAAGCAAGATAATGATAGAGCAAGAATGGAGTAGAAATGACAGGAGACGAGAGTTCTGCACCAAATACGAGGGATACTCAGACTTTTGCAATCGTAAGAATATTATTGGATAAACCCTTATATTTTGTTGTTGTTTACAGAAGTAAATGTTAACCCTTTTTTGATGATACAAGCTGGGTTCATTATTTAACTCTATCCATCCTCGCAGCGCACAGGCGCGCGACACTTATCCCCAGGGTCCAGGATAGAGATGCTATATCACACCGTCTCCAATCGGCGTCCCATGGGGAAAAGGAACGGATTCTTACCGTCGCCGATTGGCGTCCCGTGGGGGCAAAGTGTTAATGTAATAAAGGATAAGTTTGTCATACTTAACGCAGGATCATTAAATTGAATATTCAGAAATTCTTCTCATTATTGACCATAAACAATGTCTAATGACTATAGTTTGAAATGGAGACATAATGTTCAAGTGCTTTGTATTTTGTAGTATGGGTTCTCTGTATAATATGTCTAAAATTATGCTTTCTTTTTCTAATTTATACATCTTCTGCTCAAGAAAACTGAAATTTTGTTTTATTTTTGTCTGCATTGTTACCCAGTTTTGGGAGACTAAAATTGTGATGTGTGTACATGTTATTATTGAAAGTCTTTATGGTATTTCCCACAGAAAGATGTAGTTGAATATAATAATAAATAGCGTATGTATAGCATACCCCCGCTCAACCGCAAGCTCTATGCCCTTTACGCTATATTATTACCCTAGCAGACCATAGAACACTCAGAAACATTCTCGGCTTCCCGCGAAGCATACAGTGCAAATGGCTGATTAAGCGCTCAAACACTAACAAACTGACTAGGTCTTTCGCTTTCTATGGCTGGGTACCCATTCCCACCTGCGTGAAGTGAAGAAAATTTGTGTAAAGTGTCTTTCCCAAGGACGCAACATTGGGCTTCTCAGGGGATTCGAAATCACGGCCTTACGGTTGTGAGTCCAAGAGCCTAACCAGATGCCACTCATAAAAATCATGTAAGCAGGTTATTGAGAGACTGTAACAAGAATGGATGGAAACAGGAAATCAATGCATTTGTGGGGTTGAAATTTACTTAGTGCATGAAAGAATGCTTGTTGTTCTGATTTTATGTCTGTTTTTGTTTCAGCTGCCAAAGTTGATGAGGAGCTAGCTCCAATTGAAATCGCCGACAAGAACCTAAAGGGGCACAAAATTTTTGAAACACCTATCATTATTGTTCCAGGTATATTTATATGAGCACAATTCTGTTGTCTTCTGCAATCTAGTCTATACTTCACTTTTTGTTGTCTGCAATGACAGCACGATTACTTTGGTAACTGCTTTTATTATCATACTTCTCTGCTGTGTTTGTAATATCTGATTCTTTCTTAGAAAAATGTGGCCTTTCATTATTCGGACTTGCAATCATCTACTCGACAGCTAAATTTGCACTGAGCTAATGTTTTGAAATTTTCAAGGGGTGTTTCAACTAAGATGAAATGTGTGCATCTCTGAGATTATGAAAAAATATTTTGGAAATGTATACTCAAGTTGTTGGTCAATGTGCCTTTTCAGTCATGGTACTTTCAAAACAGATTCTAGATGGAAAGTGGCTTTGTTATGCTGGTTTGCCATACACAACTGTCTTCTACAGTAATGTGAGATGAACAGGCGTGAAGGGCTGCACAACTTTGGTAATGATTGTCTGCTCTTTTTTTCCCCTCTCTCCAGGAATGAATCACAATGCTTTTGTTCACACATTGGAAACAACTTTGATGCAACCTGGGATTAAGTTGGATCAAGTTGCGGTGAGTTGCAGTTACCTATAATTGAAGGAGTGTTTATGTTTCAATGATACTAATTGGTTTATGTGGTGTCTTTTTCTTGCATTTCTGTATGATTGGGGGGGGAGGGGGGTTAAAATATATTTTTTTAATGTAGATGTAAGCCACCTCCATCATCCACACAATTAAGATCAGAATTAAGAGTTGTGAGTTTTTGTGAGCATTAAATAAGAGAGATCATGTAGCTGTTTTGATGCATTTAGTGAACTCATTGCACTGTGAATGATATGACACAATTTAGCTGCTCAGTAGCTCATAAGACAAATGGGTTGGTTTCCTAAATATTCTCTTTATTAGGTGACAGTTAGGTACCTGTGTAGGTATTAAAAAATTAATACAAATTTTGGATAAGAAATATAACTCCCCAAAATGTGTCCCTACCACTCTTCCCTCCTGTTCTCTTTAGAGCTGAGCTGGAAAAATTAACAGTGTTTGATACATGTTAACTCTTACTCTAGCCAATGCAGTCAGAATTTTCTTGATGGAATTAAATGAACTAGCTGTTTTGGGGGTCTTTTCTTTGCCCAGGTGCTTTGGGATGAGAAGCTGCCAGAGTATGGAGAACTGGCCACTATGTTTGGTTTCCGGAATTACAGCCTGGACAGCAGCGTCACATATACAGGTTAGAGGAAATTACTCTTTTTCTCTTACTGGGCCATCTTTATGAACTGCGGGACCCTATCAGGATCTTTTGTGTACTAGCCGGAACTTAATCATCATTGTCTACAGAGTCATAGAGAAAATCTTGACTGTTGGTTCTCACAGTCAGCAGTTCCAAAATTGAAAATCTGGGGGGGGATGGGATGTGCATGAGATAATAGTTTGTGTGTTTTATGTGTGTGTGTGTGTGTGCCTGCATGCATGCATGGGTGTGCATGCATGCTACTTGGTCGGCTTTTAAGGACAAACGGGCTAACGCAGATTTCGAGGGTTTCCAGTAATCTTGACCTACACCAAAAGCGGGCATTGGCCTACCTATAGAAGTTTGGTTTCATTGGTATGTATATTTGTTCGGTGATAAAGAAAACTCTCCTTGTCTTTTAAAGAATTTGAACAAGGATCTGAAAAATTTACCTTCAGTTTTCTCAAAACAGCATTTTTCTGTATAGCCACCCTTGTGCTTAAAAGCGACCAATTGTGTGCTTGCGTGCTAAATCAGTGAGCTTATTTTTGTTCTTCATATACTGACTATGAATTCTGAGAAGTGTGGCAGGATGTCAATCTTGGAAGAGTGCAAATTCAGTTGACTCTTTATTAACTTGGCTTTTTGAGTGGCCTTCACACAGGTCAATTTTTCAGGCACAGTTACGTTTTACACAAAGAAGAGCCTATACTCAGTCTTCTAAATCTTCACAATTAATTGTCTCTTCCCAGAACAACTGGCCAAAGCGCTGAGGTTTGCTCGCGTGGTGTTCCCAAGTGCTGTAAGTCCTATGTCTATGCTTGTCTGTCTTTGTTAGGAATTCAGTTTTGTTTTTTGCATGTTTCTCTCAAACTATCTGTTTCTTTCTCTCTCTCTCTCTCTCTCTCTCTCTCTCTCTCTCTCTCTCTGTCTCTCTCTGTCTCTCTCTCTCTCTCTCTCTCTCTCTCTCTCTCTCTCTCTTTCTCTCTCTCTCTCATCAGTGTGAAGTGATGTGTTTCTGACAAGTTGGACATCAGTAGACCAATGCAGTTCCAAAGACACAGGGATAGTTACAAAAAGGCTTGGAATATCTTGCATTCAGTGAAAAAATAGAAGCCAAAAGTGGTGGAGGTAGCCAAGGAATAGCATGCTAAGAGAACTTGAATGGATGAGTGACGGGGGAAGACCAGGATAACATAGCTTTTTTGACAGCATGTGTGAACAAGGGAAATATTGTAAAGTATGATTGCTGATGTCTTTTTTTACACTGGCACTTCAAGAAGAAGACATATGACTCATTCAAATCCTGAAAATACTGCTGAACCTCCAGTAATGGCCATCTATCTCTAACTATCACCTGTACAAACAACCAGTTCCCCCCTTCCATTTTATAAATATATATACTAGCTTAGAAAAGAAACGCAAAATCCTGTTTACCTTTGCAATGGTGATCATGTTCGTCTTCCATTTTTAACAAAACGGGGGAATTTAAACACAAACTGTTTTCTGGCATTATGAAAGGATACGTGGAGCATCACTGTGAATATTACATTTTCACGGAATGTTTTCAACTTCCGGTTAATGCATCAAAATGTTCAGTAGTGGTTTTGGCTACAATTAGATCGGATAACCGTAGCAGATCTCTGGTACAAGAAAGCTACTTGGTTGTTAGTAAAACGTAGCAGGCTCTGCCTCAACATCTCCTGGCTGGCCACATCCAGTTCCTGCATGGTTCTCTGCCTTAGTTATCTCCCCTCGATGCATCTTTTATTTTTGTCCTAAAAATGCTTAATTGGGTTTAAATCCGTGCTAAAGGCAAGGTGAGGCTGCAGAGTGATGCCATGGCGTTGGAGGAAATCCTGTGTAGCACGGGAAGACTGCGCACAAGCATGATCTGGCTGGAACCGGAAGTTAAAATTTTGACTGTATAGAGGGGCCTAAGAACTTCTGCTATGCAACGGACAGCATTGATACCTTGACCTAGACCTTGGCCTTGATTTTGGAAGATCATTGGTCCTACTCTGTGGTTCCACATGATTCCACCCCAGATAATGACACAATGTCCTTTCCAGTAATTCATTTCTATGACAGTTGTCATGATAACGTTGGCCTTCCTCTTGATTGACTCTGAGGTCCCTGTTTATTGTATCTATGGAGAACAGGCATTCTTCCAAAAATAAGAACCAAAGACCAGTCTCTCAGACAGCTGTTGGCATGGTGCTGGGCCCAGTTCAAACACTCTTGGCGATGGTGTACGGTCAAGACTGGACCATGGTACGGTCAGGGCGTCTAAGGCTTTTCTGACATAATCGTCGGTTTACTGTGTGTCGACGTATGGCTCTTCCGTGGGTACCCATTGTGCAATCTGATGTTCTTGTAGCTGTCTGAAGTCGATTTGAATGATACATCCGGACAATGTATTTGTATACACGTGCATCAGTCACTCCGGGTCGACCTGACGTTTTTCGGTCCGACGTAAAATTAGTGAGCTGAAAATGGGTTATGAGTCTGGAGAGTCAAGATGTGAACACTCAAATGACTGGCAACCACTATTTGCCTTTCTCCATTCTCCAAACAGCCTCTTAATATTTCTTGTTTTATTGCCCTTGAACTTGGCATTGTCGTAGCAATTGCAGGCGAAATGACCGAACCGATTTTTTACCACGGCTTTCAAAGCCGAGCTCAGGGGATTACTTTTCACCCCTTTTTCACTCATTTAGACCATGTTTCGAAGGCACCACGTGGCTTTTCCATGCTTGAATTAAAGGGCAATAACTCTAGTTGCCGGTGACAAGCAAGACGAGCGACTTTTGATTTCCAAAGATGATATGATATACTATCAACGGTGTAAACTTTAGTCTTCTACCATTGATGGTTATTTAGTAATAGCCAAAAGAGTTTTTTGCGTTTCTTTTGCTCGCTAGTATATATCATATATATATATATATATCAAAATTTCACTGACTAAGAATACGAACCGTAGAAGACAACCATTTTTCACCTCTACGATGGGTAGATGTCTTGGACAGGCTTGACCCTACTGCTCTTAGTTGACAAAATACCTTTTTTTAAAAAACATTTTGGTGTCTATTTTTTAAATTTGCTAAATCGATAGCCTGATCAGTTACCCTACTTGGGTGAAAAAATCAAAGTGAAACAGACCAGTTGTTGAATAAATTAGAATTCAAATTTGGAAAGAACGCCTTTTTGAAATGGTTATGCTGACAAAACGCCTTTTTATCTTAAAACTGCTGTGAATAAGAAAAAGGAGTTTTGTCAGCGTACGGCAGCACAGTTGTCACTGTTTCAGGACCACATGGTGGTAATCGAAGAGGACCTGCTCCTGTCACCAGACTTCATGCCCTTCATGGCTCTGTGTCTGGACACTGTCAACAAGGACGCCTCTCTAGCTGGGGCTTTTGCCTGGAACGTCAATGGTGGGTTGGGGTTTTGTGTGTGTTTTTTTTCTCCTTCTCTCTGTCTGTCCCTTTCTGTCTCTCTCTCTGTCTCTCTGTCTGTCTCTCTGTCTCTGTCTGTCTGTCTGTCTGTCTGTCTGTCTCTCTCTCTCTCTCTCCCTCTCATTGCCTGCCTGTCTGTGTATTTTGTAGGTGGTTGGAGAATACTTTTACCAAGTCTTATTTATTTACTTTCCCTCCGATGTTTCTACCCAATCAATCTTGCTTTTGTTAAAGCAATTAGTGTGATGAAAAGGTTTTTCTGTACTCAGAATTTGTGCCCTTGTCATTCTTCTGTCAGTCTGTCTGCATGTCTCATTCTCTATCTCTGCATCTCTTATTTTCTTCCTTTTCACTCCAGTGTATTTTTCATTTTGTTCCTCTCTTTCTGTTTCTGTCTGTGTTTCTGTTTCTTAACAAGAAAGCATCTCTTGCTGATGTGTCCTCTTCGAATAGCTATGGGATGATGGGTGAAGGGCTCAACTGGTTACTCTTCCTTTTTTTTTCTTCTATTCCTTCATTATTCCTATCTATCTCACTCTTTCCCTGCAATAACAGACGGTTGTTATGTTTAAGCACTTTTGTCTGACATAGATAAAAAATGCTAAGTTAAAGACTTGACCAATTCTCATGGAGATGTTCTGTCTTCTTACTGTCAGGCTTTGAGCATTCGTCAGGCAACAACAGCCTGGTGTATCGAGTACAGGAGTTCCCCGGTCTGGGTTTCCTGGTCAAGTCTCACATCCTGCAACAACTTGTGGACTCGTTTGGCAGTTGCTGCTCTGACAGGTATGGCTGATCCTAGCTACAGGGAAGTGACTCTTTTTATCCGATATTGGTGTACAGAGGTCGGGGCTCTTTGGTTCAAAGGTTAGGTGTTTGCCTTTCCTTTTGCAAGTTCCAAATTTGATTCTTGCTTCATGAAGACATGGTCAGATAGATGGCTTATGGTGTGGGGGGCTTCTGGGTTGTTGTTTTTTGTCTTTTTTTTTTTTTTTACGGATCAGAAAAGATACTTTGCACGTGTTGCTGAACTGTGAAGGTGTTGTTCATAATTCCACTTTTGTTTTATCTCCTTAGTATGAAGATGTTTTAACTCACAGAGCACCGCTCCCGCAGCATACGCGGTCCAGTAAAATTCGTGTTGCAGACCGTGACCGCAGCGTATGCGGGTTCAACTATAATTGACTATAATGTAAACCCAGCTGTTTAAAATGATTGCAGATAGCCCCAGTTGTTTAAACAGGATATCAACAAGCTAGTTCTTTGTGGTTTGTGTATTATTCACCACTTTTAGTGCAAATAAACTGGTTATTTGTCCAACTGACTGAACAACTGAAAGAAAGGAACTTCCGCCCAGTATGTTGTCGAAGCATGGCACGGCGAGGTGTGTTGAAGTTTATTGAAACTCTTTATAATTTTGGTGAAGATTTAAGTGACAATGAAGTATCGGATAGATAACTTCATAAATCAAAATGTGATTTCGCCTAGCAGTGATGAAGATGACCGAGAAAATGATGTTAAATCTAGGCCTAGACCAACATCGTGTCTCGATTGTGAATCTGACTCGTCAGCAAGTACGCAGCCTGGACTGGCTGGGGATGATGATAGATCTAGCCCCAGTACTAAACTCTAGTTCAAATCGGCCCTCAAAGTGGAGAAGATAATATATGTACCCACACCTGGAACATCTAATGGCAGATCTAGTCCTAGCACTAGCAGCACTGACAATGAAAACACTTCTCAGCCTGTCACCGAGGAAGAATCTTGGGGTAGATCTAGATCTATATGTAAAAAAATTTTCAAAATGAATTATCACTTACATTTTTCTGCTATTTCACTGTATACACTCATGCTTCATTCTCCTACACACAAAAATATACTGCCACAACCATTTTGTGTAAGTTTATTAGATTTCTGCTTTGTCACATCATTTCCTTTTTTTCTGGGGCAAAATTTGTCCCAACTGTCTGTCATTCTTTCTTCACAAAATGTGTTTATTGTGTCTGTTGTACCCATATCTTATTAAATAGCACAGTAACATTTCAAAGAAATAATATTTCATTTCAATTTTTTAATGAATTTAAAAAAAATGGGGGCAATGGGTGGTCCCCTGGGACTTGGAGACAAATTGGGGCGTGGTGCTCAGTGAGTTAATATTCAAGACTTGCTCTAGAACAGTTTTAGAACTAATGTTGATGGCAAGAACCAAACAATAGTCAGTGAACTACACACCCTTGTCATTTGTCAGTACTGATAGTTTTGTTCCAAACTGGGCCAGCTGTCTTCTAACTTTTTCCCACTATAAATGTATCATGACGTGGAGGAATTGGCACTCTTCAAATTTTGGACATATGAAGTTATTGGTAACATCTTAACTCTTTCACTACTGCAAGCTGTGTTTCACGACTCGCCACTTCCCACTTCAAAATCATACTTATTTTTGTAACAATGGAAACTATAGTCTCAGGCTGAAGAATGATCGTTTTTAGCAACATTTTGAGATAGGCTATTATTTCCCCTTTATTTTCATTTATATAATACATGTGGCTAATATTGAAAATCGAACTCAAAATCTTTAATTTGTCTGATGAAAGGCAGAATCAGAAAGTAGTCAATGATAGAGCCCAGTCCAGGTGAGGAAAACCCCCTGATAGTGAAAAAGTTAAAGCTTTTTCATTTATCTTGCTTTTGATGAAAAATATTCCCATCTTTCTTGAAAAGAAGTCGAGGTATTCGCGAGTGAAGGAGGTGGGGGTTACCTGGTGTCAGGTAAAATTAGCAAGAAAATGCCTACCAAAGTTTTGTGACTTTCAAAGCTTAAGTCTCCTTAGAAACTGCAAATTAATATTTTTTTGTGCCTTTGATCAGCATTTTTCAGTAAAATACACTGAGAAAAGTGTTTTTAATGGATTTTAAAGGTGTTGAGCCCCCCAAAAAACTGATACAAATTTCTGAACGGGTAAAAAAAACTTCAAGGTTTTTAAAAAAAATTTCATTATTTGGACTTTGACGAACGATGTCACAAAGATGCTTTTTGTGATTATTTACTTTAAAAAGAAACTCAAGTTCCCAGTCTTGATACAGGTTTATTGTTGTTCAGTTGTACTACCATGACGGTCATCATTTCTTTGCTCTTCCACCTTGTACTTTGGATTATATTTTTTTTTCTCCGAGGATAAAAATGGGGACTTCTTTTAAAACAAATGACTTTCATGTGTGTTGTGTTTCTTGTCAGGGCATGGTCAGGCTGGCATTTGGAAGTCCAGGGCCTGGAGATGCTGATGCCGGATGTGTCTCGTGTCTACCGTACACCGTTTTATGGGGCCGAGGCCACCTCTGTTGTCGCCAGGAGCCTCTTTCTGAAGCCACGCCGCACGCATTTGTGAGTACTGGGGATGGAAGGAAGAGGGGTCTTTTATCATGGGTAGCCTGCTTCAGTTTTATATTATTTTGTCTTCTGGAATTTTAGAATTTGCTGAGGTTGTTAACAGTACATCAATGGTTTCCTGCAGCTTTTTGTTTTATTTGTTTGTTTCCCTAAGCAAAAAAAATCATTTCATGCCACATGCATGTATCCCCTCGGATCTTCACATTGGTTATTTTCAAAGGTTATATGATGGTCATGCTTTTTATGGAATTCGTATAGGCTTTTGGGTGATGGCCTTTTTCTCAACTGTCCTGCAGTTTGATTAACTTGCCTGTATTTGAAAGGAACATTATTTATTGAAATGTAATTCTACACGATCCTAACATACTGCGTTCTCTTCTCTTTGTGTTCAGAGAAATGCGGCCCAGCCCATTGAGCCTGAAACATCTGATCAGCACGGACTACGAAGCTTTCCTCAAAACTCAGATCATGGGGGCTGAAATACTCAAACCTTCACTGTTGGTTGACTGCATTGCTGGCAAATCTGGAGCTCCAGACATTGACGAGTTGCCTGAGTAAGAGACATCACACACTGAGAAATAAAGACTTATTGCTCTTACTCTTAAACATTAAATATGCAGTCCCATGAGCTTACTACCGCTATGAAATTGGGCAAATAGTGTGAGCTATTTATAGACGAATATATAGGAACTGAAATTAATTGGGCCTGTACTCCTATTAAACCATGGACTATCTCGGAATCCGCTCACTCTATTCCAGTTTTTGGCACCTTTATTGCCTCCCTCGTACTGGACCCCTGGCTTTTCAGCTCCTCATCTGACAGTCTGAAATTTTGTTGATATTTACCAAAGAGCATGATAAACTTTCTTGTTCGTGGCTGAAGGGTAAGGCAGAACTGTTAAACACTGCTTTGGTCAGTAAAGGTATGACAATATGTAACACTACAGGAAACACACATGGGCATTGGTTCTCAGGTATATATGTGATATTTACTTTGATTTGTCCCAAGTGGGTGGTTGGCGGGTGCTCTGGTGTGGTTTGCTTCTTCTTTCCTGTCAAACATCTATCGTCCTAATCTCCCCTTCTTCTTTTTTTATGTTTGTTACTCTCTTGTAACACCTCTAATCTTCTGATGCTCACATGACCTTATGTAGTTCCGAGCGCGTAAAACCTCTACTAAAACTAAAACTAAAACTTTGTCCCAACTGTCTTCTTTCCTTCCTTTTTCTTCCTTCATTCTTACCACAAACACACATCCTCTGCCTTCAAAATAATATTATTTATGTCTGGCCTCAATCAACATCTCAACCGAATTGGAGTAAAGCAGTCTGCTGCCTGCCCACTGTGTGACTACCCCTCAGAGACAGTGGAACATCATCTGTTCTTCTGTAGAAAACTAATTGATTTAAGGGGATGTTTACTTCCCAAGCTACCACACACATCTAACTTCCTCTACTCATCAAGACAACAATTAGAACAGACATGCAGCTATTACAGAATGGCATCATGCAGAAGAGTTAATGCTCAGATGCCTCTGGATCGCTAACAACAACAACAATGTCTGACAAGGCATGTAAGTCATGCAGAACAAACAAGGGGACATGTTCAGTTTTTCCACATCCCTTAACATGGCATGCCTTGACCTGTGATATCACTCAAAGTAGTCAAGTCATCTTTCTTCTTGCATTTCATTCTTTAATACTTCTGTCACTGTGCAGCAACCAGAGATGGCCTGTTGTATTTTGAAATTGTTTAAACTTTATTTATTATGTTATTTCACTCTTGTTTATTATCAATATCATATCATATTATGTGGGATGGACATTTCCGTTTGTTTGTTTTTAACTAATTTTTTTCTTGATCAGATTATTATCACATTGAGGTTGTTGGACATGGCTTATCTTTTACAGTCAAACAAGGGTAACTCGAATTCATCGGGAATTGGAAATAGTGTTAGTGATTTCCATTATTCATCATGTCCCTGAAAGCCCCAAATACAAAGAGAGAGAATATCAAGGGAGGTAAAAAGATAATTAAAACAATTAACCTTGTTAGGTCCCTTGATGAACGAGTTGATGGTGTGAAAGCAAGAAGATGAATGAAGGTGGAAAGCAGAAAATCTCACATGTGCACAGCTGACTCCTATGTCATTTCTTTCCTCTAATTTTATTGGCTTACAGAAAGTTGCGTCTCTTGCCATCCGCTCCGCGGGTGTCCCACAACATGATGCGGTCAGCATTACTCCTCAACCCCCCTTCCTCGTCTGGACTCTACTGTACAGTAGTCTCCACCTAAACGCACGCCATACAAAAGCACGCTCCGCTCAAACGCACGCTTTCGTCATCTGACGGGGTTTTTTACTGCATAATTTCGACGTACAAACGCACGGTCACTCCCTCTAAACGCACGCTCCGATCCGCGAAACATGCCGACAGGTAAAGCTTGACAAGGGGAAATGTTCACTACAACCTTTGAACCTGCACAGCCTGCATAAGACAAGCCTAGAAAATTGGTGAGCATGCCCCTCACGCCGAACAAAGAGAGTTATGGACAGAGTTTTCACCTCTCAACTTTCCACAGACAAGTAGGTCTGGGACGGGTCAGTGAAAAGTTCGGGGGGTGAAATGTTTTTTGATTGGACACTGGAAATGTAGATCTATCTTTGAGAGAAGGTTTCTGACTGGTGTCTGGGAGACCGCGTGTAATGTTTAGTTAGACCTAGGCCTGATGCGCAACACGCATAAATGCCGTAAAACACTAAACAGGCCTCTACAGTATTACAGATTAGCCAAATAAGCCTAATCGGCTGCGCTCGAAGAACGTACTTGTTCAACGAATTACAAGAGAAATGTTTCTCTGAATGTAAAGAATGATTTTGCTTGAATTTATGGTCGTGGGTGGTCGCTTGGAAAGCCACGTGGCTGGTCCGTCGTCTCTATGACTATCACCAACAGTTTCCTCTTAGGCTATCTGTTCCCGACATTTGTAGTGCATAGTCATAACATTGAGTCTGTCTTCCCCCCCCCCCCCCCCCCCCCACACACACCCCATTCAACGCCTTTGTATTCTTAAACCCAGTCAGGGAATCCTTCACAAAATAGTCACGTGTCGTCACATATTCTGCCAAAATGATCACCTCTCTCCAAGGTAGGTCACTAAAGTAATAAGGAGTTGAGATGACTGTGTCCTAGGGCTGGATTCTGCTCGGTTAATCGAAGGCTTGCAAAGCAGCGGACGGCTCGCGCTAGAGGGTTGCGAGCAGGCTTGTGATTTGCTTTGCCTCCCGCTTGCTACCGGGGGAAACTTCCAGTGAGTTGTGACTCGCGGACAGTCCTGCTGTACTGTGTCATGACGCCGCGAACCGTCGTTGCTGTGGGCTCAGTCCATATTACAAAAGATTCTCTGTTTATTTGCGTTGAGAGGCTTGCACCAAGAGTGCAAGATTGTTTTGTTTTTTTACATAGTTCGGTTGTAAAAAACAAAAAGCTCTATTCAATGCACTTAAAAATTAATATAGGATCGGCTATTCTTACGATGTTAAGGCCTGTTCATTTTTAATGTGCACGAGCCAAGCGCTTCATTGTCGCACGCAAAAGACTTCAGTTCGATTCCCGTACGGGGATAAATTTTTACTGAGAACCTCCGTCTTTCTGCTGGGGCGTTGTTCCCTCTCAGCCCAGGTTGGTCCTGACATTGGGTTGAAGTAGTCCTAGCCCGTCTCCTAAATGTTCTGTATTATGTCAGTGTGAGTGTAACACATCTACAAAGTAGGTTACATACATACGATACAAAAGCCAATCACAACGACCCCTGGAGTTTTCCATTCTAGGGTAATCTAAGTCTATTTATTCTTATTACTACCAGAAACCTAGGTCTCTGTTACTACAGTAACAATACCACGCTCCCTCTCACTTATTCACTCGCATAGCTGATCAACGGCGGGAAGTTAAAAATAACTTCTCTCTCTTCACCAAAACAAGCCCAGCCTCTCCCTTCCTCCACGGTTCAAAGTTCACACAGCGAGCGGTACTGCTGTTTGAACACATCGAGTGGTCTTGCCGCCATCGAGCGGTCCTGCGGCGTGCCGCTCGCTCGGTGTATCGAGACAGCACAAGTCAGCAGATCATGTTTCGAGCTTGTCCTGGGACAATTCACTAGGCCTAGCGCAAATAAGTCCTGTGTGAATCGTGGGGCTTGTTGCTGCGGACGGGATTTGAGACTTACAGCTGTCCGCTGCTTTGCAAAGCCATCGATTAATCGAGCAGACTACAGAGCTATGCCGCGCAGTGACACTGTGGGTGGGATCTCTCACTCTCCCCCTCTCTCTTTTTCTGACGTAAGTGGCTTCGCGGATTGCAAGCAGGGTGGGGATGATGAGGGGTCTGACTTCGCGGATTGCTAGTTGCTGTGGACTTGAAGTTTAGACTAGACCAAGGACGTTACAGTTTGCGCTAGACTCAACTTATCATGCTGGTGATTTGATTTGACCTAGTGATTTGAGGCTTGTGACTTGAACTAGGGGCTTGCGAGCACGAGCGGGTTTGCTACCGGGGTACAGCCCTACTGCGTCCCTTCCTCCCCTTGCAAAGGTTCATGTAAACGCACGCTCCGTATAAACACACGCTAAGGAGCCCTCCAGAGCACCGTGCTTTTAAGCGGAGACTACTGTATATGTTCTCGAATGACTTACTTTGTTGTTCTTTTTACAATGTACAGGTATTAACTACTTTTTTTGTTTCATTTTTACTTTTAAAAGTTCACCAAATGTATCTTCTTTTCCTTTATCTTTCTGCATGTAGAGTTCCGGTGGTGATATATTATGCCCAGAAAGAACCCAGCGACATTCGTGTGTTGAAACTCATCTGTCGATGCTTTGGCCTGGTTGCTCTGGAAAACATGGGCCCTAAGAATGTACACTTTGGACTGTTAAGGTATGATGTCATGTACCTTTTCTACCTTGTTCCTCCCATTATGCTTTGAGAAACTGAGAGAATAACAGTCTTTTTTCACACCTTGATCCACTTTGATGCTTCTCTTTTGGTAAAATACACATTTCCATCTTCTGTTGGTGATATACAGCTTCCGTGCTTTGGTTGTTTTTTTTTACATATAATGTTTACATATTGGATTAATGCACCATCGTCCTGATGTAAGTTTCACAGAATTATCTGTTTTGTCTCCCACTTTTTATTGCACTATTTTAACTAAAGAGAAAACGCTGAGACACACTAATGAATGTGTGAAATTGTGAGGGGAGAATAATAGGTCAAAAGGACAGTTTGGATATTTAGATAGAGCTCAAAATTTATTATTAGGGGATAATATAATAGGATATTTCATCTCTACACATTGTTAAGTAGCCTATACATAAATGCCTTCCATGTGAGAACTTGCTAAATTGGCAATCTGTTGTTAAAACCCTTATTTCACGTTCTATTGAAATTTTGTCCTGTTTTTATTTCATGTTTTTTCCATTTGTCAATTTTATTTTTCCAGATTTTACTATCAGAAGCATGACGTGTTCTTGGTGGGTACGCTGACTCACTACTTTGACAAGATGATCTCTGAGGACCACGTGGTCGGGACCAAGGTGCTCTCAACTGTACTACAGTGACAGCTGGATGGCTGAAGACTCCTTTATCACCTCTGTGTGTTTGTACATCAAAGAGAAAAAGATGGAAGGAGAGACATAGTGAAATGTGTAAGCCCTGCTTTTGAAGAATACTCTTTTTAGTATTTTTGGTGCTCTTTTAAGTTGGTGCTGAAGTAAAAAAGTTTGAAAATTTCTCCACCCCCCCTCCCCCCCAAATTTTACTGATAAGCTTTAACCAAAAGAAATCTTGATCTGATGAATGCAGAGTTTGTGAGTAATTTATGATGAGTGCAAGTATGGTTTTATCTCTCTGTGTGGGCATCTTCCTTCTTTTTGCCATAAAGCTGTACGTGTGCATATGGTTGATATTGTGTGTTGCACATGGGTGTGCATACATGTTAGTGTGTATGAAGTGCTGTCAGTATATATCACTGCCAATGAAATTATTGGTAATGCAGTGGTCTCCAGCTAATAGATTGCTCTTCATGTGACAAGAGAAGCCTGCCCTTAGGCGATTGTGCTGTGGAGCAAATTTTGAAGGAGAGTAATCTCGAGTGAACAACCTGGCATCTGATCTTCTGTAGTGGATTTTGTCATTGAGATGAGTTGGCTCCAGGTGTGTTTTCCTACATCGAGTGTTCACAGACAATGGCCATCAGAATCACACCACAGTCCTCTCACACTGTCCGCATGCTATGTATGGCCGCTCACTGGTTTTCCTTATTGGATAATTCTTCCTGACACCGTGTTTTCATAAAATATTTTTCTCCCTGGCAAAGCCACAATTTCAATAAATGAAGAGGGGCTTGGTGTGGTTTAAGAAATATCATGCTTTTATCAGCTGTACTGTAAGCTGGAGACCACTGTATCACAAAGAATCTTAAAAGACTTGATCTGAGAATTGTATTCTGATGCTGAATATAATCTTGTAATCTGGCCGTGATTTTGTTTTGTCTTTGGAAGATCTCACAAAGTTAATTTTAAAAAATAAGTAACATGAGTTATACGAGAATTATTAGGGAACCGTTTCCATTGTTAACTCACTGGAGACTGGGCCTTTTTCGGGTCTTCGTACGCTGAAGACTGGCGTTTTTGGAGATATTTCAATATTTCAAATAACACCCTTCCCAAAGACATACAACCACCATTTGTACCCACATAACATATCTAAATATGCCCAATATGACACAAAAAACAGAAAGGCAATATCTTTTATAGTTTTTTAGAAATGATTTTTTGAAAATGTGCTAAAATTTGTTGCTTGCCAAAATTTTTGACGTAATGTCTAATGTTGAAAAAAAGTTTTTAAAAACCCAACAACCCCCCCCCCCCTCCACCCCCGCCCAAATTAATCTTGTGTGTGTCTTTTATTGTGTTTTGTGTTTCAAAATTAATAAAAAGTCCAAACTCATGAAACCCCCGGGGCGGTGCCACTGACTGAAGTGTCTTTAGGCCATTCCCAAAGGGGGGGACATGTCTCGTTCATACACAGTAGAATTGTAAATTGACTGATTCATCAATGTCACGCTCATAAGCGTGCCTGATCTACTACAGGGAACTGCTGCTTTTTCTTTCCTAATCCTAACTATTGACATTTTTCCTCTACTTCTTTTGTATGTTTGTCACACTCTTGTGACCCACTATTTCCGGGGTGCCTTGATAGTCGAAGCAGACTTTGTGCTGTTGAAGCTAGAGAGGTGAGCAGAGTAAGTCTGATTCCCTGTAAGGACTTCTCTGTTGACATCCACTCCTTGGCGTTCATATGACCGTATGCAGTTGCGAGCGCCGTAAAACCTCTACTAAAAAAAAAAGAAACCTCTTGAATTGGCAGGTAAAAGATATGGTAATCCTTATAAATGTATTTGCTGTCTAATCCACTTAAGTGTGAAAAAAACCCAGGGCTCTAGACAAAGCAGAATTTTGCCTAGTCAAGATCTAGAACATTCTCTATCAGAGACAGTGCTTTGATGCTCATTTACATTGAAATCAGGATCCCCATAGTCTAAAATATCATAATCAGAATTTTCTGAACTGCCAAAGTCGTGCAAATACTTGAAAAATGATTGCTTTTCGTGCTGCCAGGTGGGTGGTTGGCGGGTGCTCTGGTGTGGTTCGCTCCTTCTTTCGTATCAAAGATCTATCGTCCTGATCTCTCTTCCTTCTTTTTTTTTTGTGTTTGTTACTCTCTTGTAACACCTAGTCTTCGACCTTTTTGGTTTGCAAGTGCCGTAAAACTTACTAAAACTAAACGTGCTGCCATCAAACGGACGAAGTGTTGCAAGAACAGACACCAGTCAGAGAAACGAAAGTAGGGCCTTGTTGTGACTAACTTTCTTTCCGGGTCGATAACTCAGAAAAGTTTCCAGTGAATTCCGGTGAAACTTTGCACGAAATGAAACGAAGGTTGACTGCACGCTAAGAGGCGGTTCACGCGCGTACTTTGCCAAGGAGAAAACGCGAAACTGGTGCTTGCAGTTTGCATGGGGTGCGTGAATCCCCTCTCGGGGAAATATTGGTGCTCGCAAATAAATGTTGCATGAACCGTTTCCAGTGAGTTAAAGTAGTGAATCTGTAAAGGAAATATGTTTTCAATGGTGACTGAGCTGATGATAAGTTTGGATAAATGTTGTAGCCCTTGATGTAATTTGAGTCAGTTCTAATATTATGAGAAACGGGTCTATTGCTCATTTATCTTGTTGCATATTCCATCTTTTTTTTAAATTCATCAAGGACAGACATGCACATGCTCTAAGGAAGATATGTTGTCGGCCCATTTTTGCATAATAATTTTTAATCCCCTGTTGTTTGGAAAATCGATTTTTAAGAACCAACCCATAGATGTTGGCTTTAATTTTGAAAAACAAACCGCTATTCATTTTTTAAATTTAAAAAAGAAGACTGAATAAGTTCTGAGATAAATTATTGTTTTGAAAAGAAAACATTTAACATTTGTGTGCTGAGGAAATGCTGTTTGCAGACAGGAACAGAACCATTCATACAATTTTAGTGGGAGTCGGAGCATCACAAAGAGGACAAACAAAGGCTGTGATATATTTTCTAGTTGAACCCATAGTGGGAGACATTTCCTGAATCCAAGGTTTTGTATACCGGTACCCCATGTTTGGGACGTTTGTTTGTCATTTGCTGTCATAATACTTGTTCATTAAGCAGAGTCTACTCAGTGAACAATGTTGCAGTTGCATGTTAAAATGTTTTGGGGGTTTATTCTTTTTAATGCATTTCTATTCTAAGATATTTCTTTCTGCGAGCAATGAGTCCTTTCTCGTTCTGTAGACTTGTTAACCCCCCAGGGCGGTGCCACTGACTGAAGTGTCTTTAGGCCATTCCCAAAGGGGGGACATTCTCGTTCATGCACTGTAGAATTGTAAATGGGCTGATTCATCGATGTCAAGCTCATAACTTTGCCTGATCAACAACAGGGAACTGCTGCTTTTTCTTTCCTAATCCTTACTATTGTCATTTTTCCTCTACTTCTTTTGTATGTTTGTCGCACTCTTGTGACCTGCTATTTCCGGGGTGCCTTGAAATTTGAAACAGACTTTGTGCTGTTGAAGCTAGAGAGGTGAGCAGAGAAAGCCTGATTCCCTGTTGACATCCACCCCTTGGCACTCATATGACCGTATGCAGTTGCAAGTGCTGTAAAACCTCTACTAAATAAATAAAAAAATAAAGTAGTAGACTTGTTAGTTCAGCATCGTCCTTCTTCGTCTTTGTAATTCTCCTGTAGTTTTTTCACCTTACATTTCTTGCTCTGTTGGTGAAACTTTTCTTTTTCACCCTTTGATATCATTCAACCTGAATTCTCTTAGCCATGGTGTAAAGCATTGACCTGTCTTAGAGGCTTTGCTCTAACCCTGCTCTCGTCGAATAAGTATCACTTCATTTTGTAAATCCAGGAAAGAGAGAGAGGAGAGGACCAAGCAGTTATAATCCGATCTTTGTGCCATTTGAGTGTTGTCGGGGTTTTTTTCCTCAAGTTTTTAACCTCAGTATAGCAGGGACATGACAAAATCAGCAGGACAAGGAAACCTTGTGTACAAGTTTTGCTGTGTACATGTTTTAAGTACAAAGAATATATTTAAACATGTATTCGAAAAAATTTCGGCCCTGAAAATCTGTTTGCTATGTGCACTCTAGACTGTATTAAAAAAAAAAATTGTACTGGCATTGTTTCCTTTTTCCCCCCCTATCAGTCTGGAGAAAAAGAAGTGGTCAGATGTGACCATCTCTCTGTCAACCGCTTTCACAATAGCGCTGTTTGTTTGGGGATGCCTCAGGGCTTTTCTCCTCTGATTTCTGATCCCTTGTTACAATTTCTGACCTATCACAGCCACATTTTATTTCAACAGATTTAGTCATTGTTATTATTATTATCATTACCATTATAATCGTTGTCTTAATCTATATGAAAAAATGAGGTGTAAAACTATTGTCATCAACATCAGAATGTCATCGCTTTTTATATTGGTTTTATGTTACAGGCATAATTATATTCATTTTTTTTTTCTTGTTCTCCTAACCTCTC